GCGACTTCTCGTAGTTGCATGATGTGCGGATCAATGATGCGCCAGATTGCTAGGACGAGAAATTTCTCGTAGATTGGCGACATGTTAATTTTTGGTCGCCGAAAAGGCCGTTCTGCAGGCATTCGGATTTGTTTCGCTTCGGCAGCCATGCGCTTATCGCGAACCTTGATAGCCTGTCGGTATCACAGAAGTATATTGGAACCGTGGTAGAATGCATCAATGTACATTGATGCGGGCTGATGCGCCCACATAACGCAGCCCCTATACGTACTTGGCTGACCCGCCCTCGTACAATTTAGCAGGGGAATATCCGGTCTTGACCCTGAAATGGGGCCGAAGCAGGCTGGCGTAGTAGGGAGGGTGCGCCTGTTGCTGGCGGTGGTCCCTTGGCGTCAGGCTACGCCAGGTGAACCGTCTGGAGACTTGTGTGCAACAAGTCCAAAGACATTCGGCGAAGACATATGTACTTTGCGGCCCTGTTCGGTAGCCTTCCAGTCCACTGGGCTTACTCGAACTGGGGAGGCCTACGACATGTTTCGTAGCCTTGGGTGTCCACTCACACTGAAAGGAAGTCTCGTCCACAAACGCAAGAAGTTACTGTGTGTTTCTCGAGAAATTACTGGTCGAAACTTTTACTTTTCTACGAGGCTGCCCAGCTCACAAACAAAACAGCCCGCCAAATAAAACACCCTCGATATGGATAAAAGAAATTCACGAACGGGCACGATCTCTCATTGTTTGAACGAGCAGGCTGAAAAACATAATTTGACCCGATTCAAAATTAATGCAGCGTTTCCCCTACAGCGTGCCACTCAGAGCGGGCCTGCCTGAGTGGAACTGGAAAGTAGAAATGGGGTTGACTCTCACTGGCGGTCGAGCTTGCCTGAGCAAGCATTTTCGTGGTAGCGTCCTCAACTTCACTCGGACTGGGTTTTTCACGCGTTCGGTAGCCAATTGCACTGGGCAGGTATGGTGTTCTAATAGCGGCTCGGTGGGCTTTAAGGTGATTCGACATTGGGCCGAGGAAGAGCACCTGCACCAACCGCAGTGTGACTGGGGGGGCTACCGAACAGGGCCTGTATATCAGCATGCTCCACGCTGGCAAGACATGTACACCTGTCCCGCGATAATTCCACACCCTTTATCTTCATGCCTAGGGGTACCTAGCCTCAGACAATCTGATTTCAAGGGTAGTTCACAACATGATTTGAATTATCGAGGTTACGGTCACACAATCCCGTCGCTTGCCAGCGGCCGTACAAGCTTGGCGGAGAAACTGTTCCCACTCACTACTCCGACTGACAAGTGCGAGGCCGGCACCTTAGGGTCATGTGCGATAAACCCGTAATGAAAGGGTGCTCCACTCATCGAACCAAAAAGCATAGGGTGTCTGACAAAAACGAGGGTACGGTGTGTGAAATTATCGCGGGACAGGTGTACACAAGATGCCCAGCCCCTGCGCGCGGATTTGCCCTGACCGCGTCGGAAACTCTGCACCCGTGTAATACGGTGCTAGCCAGTTGCACCCAATTCACAAGCACCTCGAGCAATACGAACCACAAAAACGGAAGTTTGACAGAAGAGACCAACATCAAACGGTCAACAGAGAGTTACAAAGTCTTTTAAAAGCCCTTTTTGTCTAATTGCGAATTGACGTAGCGAAGTAAAAGAATCGGTTAAAGGTCTTCTTCACAAGGCGACTTTGGGCTAGTCCAACGGGCATCTTGTGTATGGACTGGGCATGCGGCATTTCTCAAATATCTTCTGCAGTTGGGACAGCTGGCGCTGGGTAATGATCACGCAGCACATGATACACATATGGCACCCTTGGCTGGATGCTTGTTGCCACCACAAGTCTGGCAAGCACGCTGGACACAGCACGCGCGAATTGCCCCGAGTGTACCAGCTCTCTTGAGGCAAGATAAGATTCGCCAATTGGAACTGAATAATTTCCCAACGGCATCTGGCGTATAGTTTCGTTTGCGTGTTCTCCAATTATAGTAATAATGTTGTGGATCAACACCAGAAACAGGGTATTCTGATGTCTTTTCGAACAGCTCGAATCTCAATTCTCTGACTGCAGGGCCGATTATGACCAGAACTCGGCTAGGTGGAAACGCCTTCGAAACAAGAGTTGGCATTTATGTACGACGCAGCCTACAGCCCGCATCACCACGGACACTTCCACCTTCGCATTTCCACCCTCTTGCACTTGCACAAGCAAAAGATCAGACACAGAACTGGGGGTGACGTCGAGGACAGGTCGATATATCCACGTGGATTCTTGTCGAGCGTCAAGCATTATTCCACGGCCCCGATCTTAAAAGTTTTTTAGATTCTGCTGCCCCGAAAGTGGGACCCCAGTAATATCCTGCAGAAATAGGCCAGCTCAGTATCCATGCCCAAAGATCATTGCTGCTCAAGCAGAGAAGAGTACACTGCAGAGCGTACGCGCTCCGACGTGAAATCTGCTCGTTCGAGGAGCTGCTCTCGTGCAGTGCATTTTGATTTGCATATCTGACACACGATTATCTAGTCTACCCATCTTGCAAGACTCAAGCTTGGTTCACTTATCTTCTCGAAACTTCACTTTCAGTCATCCTTCTCTCAACTCAACAACTCGCCACGACCGTCACTGGAATCGTCCTTCCAGTCACTCATCCTTCGATGCACCATAGTAAACAGTTCACAACGGGAAGACCGTGATGCGGCTTCTTCTGTCGCTCTCTATTTTTGAACAAGCAGAAATCTCCACTTTTTGCGCTGAAAATTCTCATAATTACTATCAAGCAGGATGACCGCCCTTCTCGAATCGCCGCTCCATGCGGCGAACGTTCCATCAGCCTATTCCATTCGTCTGATGCTTGCCAATGCTCCCCTCTACAATCTAGCGCCGCATAATCTTCCTGAGACTACGCAATCTCTAGCATTGAAGGCGGCACGACGCGCCGCGGGACAAGGTAACGGCGCAATCGACTTCGACGATTCCATATCGACGGTCGAGGGCGATCTTGCGATGGGGGCGGAACTAATGACTCTGCGAGGCGCGCCGCATGCTCCCTCACACTCCCTCTTGGACGCGCTGATTGATTGGCGCGGAAAATGCGGGCTCAGCAACTTGTTGATTGATCAAGATCACTATCATCATGACGCCGCCGTTGATGATCACGCTTCTGTGGCGGCCCGTCGGGCGGCGGATTGGGGATGCTTCTCGCAGGAGGAGTCACGGCAAATCGAAGCCGCGCGGCGGCACTTCGGCGGCCCTTTTAATAATCGCGGCGCGTCGCTACACGTCACGTCACCATCAGCAGCACTTCCTAGTGGCACTCCTGCTTGTGGTAACCAGCTGATGTTTATGTCGCAAACTGGAAAACACTCTCTTTTGCCGGCGTCAGCGTCGCCATCTCCGTGCCGCCCCTTCGCGTGCGCAATTTGCGGCTCCAAATTCGCGTCGCTTCAAGCTCTGGGCGGCCACAAGTCGGCTCATCGCGACGGCAGCGGCGGAAAGCCCGTGGCCCGCGCTTCGACGAGAACCTGCGGCGCCGCCGCGGGCGGAAAGCGGCGGCGGGAGCTCTCTCCGAACCCGCCGCTTCGGGGTCCGTATTCTCTCTATAAAGACGCGCCGCGCATCGTGAGGACGGCTGAAGATAGTAACATCGTTGAATCAGAGCCGCTGCCGTTGCCGCAGCCGCTGCAACCTCGAGTGACCGGAGCGCCACCGCAGCAGCCTTTGTCTGAGGCGGCTCGGATCTTGAATCTGAAGGTGAAAGCGCCGGCGACGCGGCCGCCCAGGCTGACTCGGATTGACAGCTCCACGCGGAGCTCTGTCGCGGACACAAGACACAGCGGTGGTGACCAGAGCAATGGTAACCAGACCAGTAACCAAAGTGGTAACCAGAGTGGGTCCACGGACACTGAAAGAGCTGCAATTCTGGCGAACATTCGGCAAGAGCTGGGTCGGCTGAAGCGTCAGAGGGTGTCCCACGTGGCAGGAGAGACAAGCGCACGATCCACGTCATCTGATGAGTCTGATGCTGACGTGGATGCAGGCTCAGGAGCCAGGGGTGCCAGCTTGGGAGCTTCGGATTCAGCCATGGCTGCGTGTGACGCGGCACCTCATGTGAAGGAGAATCTTGATGAGGCCGAGCAACAGGCGACACGGAATGCGAAGAATGCGAGGAATGGGAGGGAAGCAGAGGTAATGGAGTTGAATCTTTTTTGCTCCTCGGGGGTGGAGGAGACGCATCAGGAGAGTGGCAGCTCTGGGGGTGCGTGTGAGGAGCTGCGCACCGCTCAGCACCATTCTGCACCTGCTCCAGTGCTGGACCTTGCACTGCACCTCTGAAATTTTTTTACTTACCTACCTAGCTCCATAGGTGGGTAACGTTTTACATGGAACATGTGCTTCATGTTAGTGTGAACAGGTTAATTTGGGAATGCTTGGTTTGGTCACCTGGAGGAGGATCCAGGCAGTGAAGAAAGAGTATCAAGGCTTTGGGGTGGGATGTGTGGAAAGGAAGGCCGTCTGCTCTGCAGGCTGCAAGGCCAGAAACAACATGCAAGAACGTGTTCTGTTTTGGGGCGTTGGTTTGTGCTGGGTTGGGCTGTGGGTTTTTGGCTAGAACACATTGCTGTAGCCAAATTGTACAACTCAGTATGTGCGTGTTTATACATCAACGATCATTCTTCGCTTGCACTGTTGAAACCAGGGTGTTGAGGTGGAGCACATGGGAAGCAGCACCCAACCTTACTGCCACGATGACTAGCACATGCGTAGCAGCGATGTTGGTAGAGGAAGAAGTGAATGTGGTGCCACTTGTAAGAACTAAACAACCCATACGGTGGTGGGAGGAAGAAGATGTGCTGGTAGTGAAGAAGACTTTATCCACATCACAGGTGAAGTACTGCCACCCCGAATCTGCTGAGGCTCTTGCTGCTGAGAACTTCAAAAGAAAACGAGATAACCCATGTGCTGGTGATGGTGATGTGAACACTCCACGTCACAGCTTCAGTGCCGCCGCCTGAATCTGCTGCGGCTCGTGCTGAGATGGCGCTGCCGCCCGCTGCTTCTTGCTGCCAGATGCTCTGATGTCCTGGATGTGAGTGAAGACCTGTGGGGGAGAGGGAGGGAGGAGGGGAAGGGAGGGAAGGGAACACAGCAGCTCAAATCAACTCAAAGCACCTCTTGCTGCCAGATGCTCTGATGTCTTGGATGTGTGTGAAGACCTATGGGGGAGAGATGGAGGAGGGAAGAGAACACAGCGGCTCAAATCAACTCAGAGCAGCTCCTCCTGCTGCCAACGTAGCACCTCGAATCACAGTGGCAGCTCCTCATGCTGCCAGATGCTCTAGACAGCATTATGGAAGTGAGTGGAGATAGACTAGGTGTGTTTTTTTTTAGGCGCCTCAAAAGTGAGTGGAGATTGACGGGGTGTGGAAGGCAAGCAGCGAAAAAGCGGGCAATCGGGCACGAAAAAAGCAGGACAGATGAGAGCAGTTGAATGATACAGATGGAGCATGGCAGGGGCGGCCAGGTAAGAAGGAAATACCTTAGCTGAGTTGGTGAAATCCGATAGGCCGTGCTTCTGCTGCCCCCTCTCCACCACCCGTAACTTGCGCCCAACACTGCCAGCAGCAGCACCACCCGCACCAGATGCCATGCCTGGGACTGCCTGAGAGCTTTTCTGCTCTTCGGCCTTCTCTCCTGCGCAAGCACAAGGGCGCGGACAGAGAGGAGGGGAGAGGGGAAATGTGTCGGGAGAGTTAAAACAGAATGGGGACCGACGGGAACAAATCACAGAGGTCAAGAACCCCAACAGCAGAAATCAACCACTCACCCTTCCACTTGCGCTTGAGCTTGCTGCGCAGTCGCTTCCGGTCCTCCCGCTCCATCTCCCCCTCGCCCTTCACCATCCCCCGCGCACTCCCCCTCCTGCCCCCGCCCGCGCCCACGCCCTCCTCCCCGCCTGCAAACACCTCCTCTGGCGCCAGCATGCTGGCTGTTGACACCGCCACTGGCGCCACCTGGGGAGAGTAGGGGAGGGGGGGGAGAGGGGGAAGGGATTGGAAGAGAGAAGGGGAATCAGTAACTGGGGCGATGAGATGGAGAGCAAGGGCCGCCCCCATGCCCTCCTCCCCGTCTGCAAACACCTCCTCTGGCGCCAGCATGCTGGCTGTTGACACCGCCACTGGCGCCACCTGGGGAGAGTGGGGGGTAGGGATTGGAAGGGACATTGAGAAAGGGAAAAAGGGCCGCCCCCACGCCCTCCTCCCCGCCTGCAAACACCTCCTCTGGCGCCAGCATGCTTGCTGTTGACACCGCCACTGGCGCCACCTGGTGGGGAGAAGGGTCAAAATGGAAGGGAGAGGAGAAAAGGTATCAGCACCTGGAGCACTGGTCAAGGAGAAAGGGTCCGCTCCGCCCCTATGCCCTCCTCTCCTCCCCGCCTGCATACACCTCCTCTGGCGCAGCGCGCTTGTCGTTGACACCACCATTGGCGCCACCTGTTGGAGGGGGGTTTGGTAAGGGAGAAATGGCAGGCCAAGGAGGTGCGGGAGAAATGGCGGGCCAAGGAGGTGCGATTAGAAAGGTAATTACTGAGAACTTAGGAAGACGACTTACAAACAAAAACAGGGAGGAAGGAGTGAAGCAGGAGACACCACAAGCACAGCACACACGAGTTCACCAGACAGACAGACAGACGTGCGTACCTCTTCCATGGCAATGGCCGGCACGTTGGCCGTGACGTCAATGTCATCCATAATCTGATTGGAAGACAGAGGGGCGTAAGACACAGGATAGAATCGATATAGTCACATCACAACAGGCTTATCAGCCACGATCCATGGCAATGGCAGGCACGTTGGCCGTGACGTCAATGTCATCCATAATCTGATGGGAGCCAAGAGGGGAATAGCAAGCAAGCACAGGAAATATTCAATGTAATCACACAGTAGGTTATGAGTCGCCTCAAAATACCCCTGGCAGAGACGCTGGCTGTATGTCAACATCGTCAATGATCTGATGGGAGCGAGAAGGGGAGTAGCAAGCAAGCACACAGAAGGTAATCATTACAGTCACTAAGAATTGAGGCGCCTTGAGACGATTGAATTGACGGGCCTAAAGAAGAGTCACATCACATTGTGCCATGCGATTGTCCATCCCTGCAGGCACATCACATTGTGCCATGCGATTGTCCATCCCTGCAGGCACATCACATTGTGCCATGCGATTGTCCATCCCTGCAGGCACATCACATTGTGCCATGCGATTGTCCATCCCTGCAGGCACATCACATTGTGCCATGTGATTGTCCATCCCTGCAGGCACATCACATTGTGCCATGTGATTGTCCATCCCTGCAGGCACATCACATTGTGCCATGCGATTGTCCATCCCTGCAGGCACATCACATTGTGCCATGCGATTGTCCATCCCTGCAGGCACATCACATTGTGCCATGCGATTGTCCATCCCTGCAGGCACATCACATTGTGCCATGCGATTGTCCATCCCTGCAGGCACATCACATTGTGCCATGCGATTGTCCATCCCTGCAGGCACATCACATTGTGCCATGCGATTGTCCATCCCTGCAGGCACATCACATTGTGCCATGCGATTGTCCATCCCTGCAGGCACATCACATTGTGCCATGCGATTGTCCATCCCTGCAGGCACATCACATTGTGCCATGCGATTGTCCATCCCTGCAGGCACATCAGCCGTACGTAATGCATGGCAGTGGCCAGGCCAGCACGTTGGTTGGCACCTCGTAAAGGGACGTTTGAGTCGACTGGGAAGACATCTCAGGAGTAAAGTAACGAGCACATGTAGCCGAGCCGCTACATTGTAGCGTGGGAGGGGTGGGGTGGGTGGAATGTGGTGGGAGGGGTGGAAAGGGTGGGCGGGCCACTTACGTGGTGAGAGGGGTGGGAGACGTACCGGCTTGGGAGCGAAGTGGAAGTGCGAGAGTGCATCCAGCTTAGTGCAGAGATGCTTGAACATACGAGCCGCCTGTGAGAGAGGAGAGGGAGAGGGGTGGGAGAGGGGTGGGAGAAGGGTGGGCGTGGGAGAGGGGCGGGCGTGGGAGAGGGGCGGAGAGTAGGACGGGAAAGTGTGAGAAACACCTGTTTCCTGAACAGGTGCTTGAGGGAACACGCGGGGAGAAGAGGATGGAATGCGAGGAAGAGGGGGAAGGAAGAGGTGAAACTTGCGTGTGTGCTTCCTTTACCCGTTTCATGTTTCAGCTCTTCCCGTGCGTAGAGAGGGTATTTTTGAGACGTCTCAAAAATAACCTCTCCACACGTAACATGCGTGTGTGCTTCCTTTACCCGCTTCATGTTTCAGCTCTTCCCGTGCGTGTGTGCAGGTGTGCGTGTGTGCATGTGTGCGTGTGTGCGTGTGTGCAGGTGTGCATGTGTGCAGGTGTGCGGGTGTGCAGGTGTGCGTGTGTTCAGGTGTGCGTGTGTGCGTGTGTGCGTGTGTGCAGGTGTGCAGGTGTGCAGGTGTGCGTGTGTGCGTGTGTGCAGGTGTGCAGGTGTGCAGGTGTGCAGGTGTGCAGGTGTGCGTGTGTGCAGGTGTGCGTGTGTGCAGGTGTGCGTGTGTGCAGGTGTGCAGGTGTGCGTGTGTGCGTGTGTGCAGGTGTGCGTGTGTGCGTGTGTGCAGGTGTGCGTGTGTGCGTGTGTGCAGGTGTGCGTGTGTGCATGTGTGCAGGTGTGCGTGTGTGCGTGTGTGCAGGTGTGCGTGTGTGCGTGTGTGCAGGTGTGCGTGTGTGCGTGTGTGCAGGTGTGCGTGTGTGCGTGTGTGCAGGTGTGCGTGTGTGCGTGTGTGCAGGTGTGCGTGTGTGCGTGTGTGCAGGTGTGCGTGTGTGCGTGTGTGCAGGTGTGCATGTGTGCGTGTGTGCAGGTGTGCGTGTGTGCGTGTGTGCAGGTGTGCGTGTGTGCAGGTGTGCGTGTGTGCAGGTGTGCAGGTGTGCGTGTGTGCAGGAGGTGTGTGCAGGTGTGCGTGTGTGCGGATGTGTGCTTCCTTTACCCACCCTCCCTTCCCGTTTCAATTCCTCCCCACACCCGCATTCATCCCCTCCCTCCACTCTTTCTCCCTCCTCTCCCCCACCGCAGACCCAACAACTCCCCACTCTCCTTCCCCAGCCCTCCCCTCCCCCCTCGCTTCACCTCGTGTTTGATCTGCTCGGTGGCGCTCATGGCCTCGGGAGCCTGGCCAGCCTTAACCCCCCACCCAATCTGCTCCCGCATTTGCTCCCTTTCCCCCCCTCCTCCCCCCCTCCGCATCCGCACCCCCCCTTTCCCCCCTCGCTTCACCTCGTGTTTGATCTGCTCTGTGGCGCTCATGCCCTCGGGTGCCTGCCCAGCCGCCTTGAGGAACTGAGCCTCGTAGATCTCCGCCAGGCCTTGCGCGCTGGGGTTGTCGTCCTGCGAGGGAAGGGCCACGCATGGAGGGAGCACACAGGAATGAGACGCACAAGTCAAGCGAGAATGACCGGGTGGCAAGACAAAGAGACGGGCGAGGGAGGCTTGCGGAACTGAGCCTCGTGGATCTCCGCCGGGCCTGGCCTTGGGCGCTGGGGTTGTGGTCCTGGCAGGGTGTATGTGGAGGGGCATGCGCGGAGAAAACACACAGGAATGACAGGCAGTGGATATCAAGAGGAGAGTGGTATGGGCGTGGAGGGGAATGGGAGGAAGGGCCCTCGCCCGGGTGGAGGGGAATGGGAGGAAGGGCCCTCGCCCGGGTGGAGGGGAATGGGAGGAAGGGCCCTCGCCCGGGTGGAACGGACATGCACGGATGTCAGGCAGTGGATTTCAACCGGAGTGACAGGGTGGTAACACACAGAAACAGAAGAAGCAGCAAGGAGAAGCATGGGGCACTCACCAGCTCCAATCTCCCCTTGACAGGTGTCGCTATGGGCTTGGCCTTCCGCTCCACGTCATCGAATTGTTGCTGACGTGGACAAGAAGAGCAAGCAAGGGGAAGGAAACGGGACAAAAGAAGAGTTGGGGATGGTTGGATGTCTGCAATATGTACTGGTGCGATTGAGCAAAAAAAGAAGCGTGCATGGTTATATTGAACACTCGCATTCACTAGCATGGCCTCGTACCCACACACACATGCGGACACCCACCCACTCACCCACTGACACGCCCGCCCGCCCACGTTTTTCCTGTTTTTTGTTTGTTTGTTTTTTTGAAAAGAAACCTCCCCCTCCCCCCCCTCTCCCCCCTCCCCCCACCCTCCCCCCTACCCCCTCCCCTCCCCTCTACCCCCTCCCCTCTCCCCCCACCCACCCCCCGACCTCTCTCTTCCCCCACCCACCCACCCACCCACCCAGAAAAATAGGACTCATGTTGAGAATCCTCTTCTTGACGATCTCGTCGATCGTTTGAGTCACCTCCTCCATAATCACTCACTCACTCACACGCACTGGTTACTGAGTCGACCACCGAATCCCCCCGTTCCCTTCCCTCCACTGGTTACCCCGATCTTTCCCCCCCACCTTACCCTCTCCCTTCTCCCCCCTCTCTCCCCCCCCCCCCCCTCATCCCCAACCACTCACATTGAGAATCCGCTTCTTGATGATCTCCTCGATCGTTTGAGTCACCTCCTCTGTAATCACGGGCGCCGGCCGGGCGGCGTGCTCAAAGTCCAGGTCAGCGGCCAGCGCGCTGTTCTTCGGGCGGCTGCCAGCTGTCACCTCGCCGCGCATCGTCCAATGGCGCGCCTCCACGTGGAGGTTCTCCGCCTCCAGCTGGCGCATCCTCTTCCTCAGCCGCTCCAGGCGGATCTCGTACAATGACTTGGGCTGTAACAACAGTAAGGAAAGAGAGATGCAAGAGGAGGGCGAGAGGAGGGTGTGTGAGGATCAAACACTCTCCTCCTCCAGCTGGCGCATGGGCTTCCTCAGCCGCTCCAGGCGGATCTCATACAGAGACTTGGGCTGTAATGATAAACAGAACTGGGAAAGAGGGGGGTGAAGGGCACACAGAAACGGACTATATTGGAATATATTCGCAGAAACACAGAGGTTTGCAGTCATCTCCGCCTCCAGCTGCGGCATCCTCTTCCTCAGCTGCTCCAGGTGGATTTCATAGAGTGACTTGGACTGCGGGGAAAAAAAAAAACGGACAGAAAAAGAGGAGGGCACGTGGAGAGCGAGAGAGAGGACTCTCGGAGGTTCTCCTCCTCCATCCGCTCCTGGCGGATTTCGTACAATGACATGACTTGGGCTGTACCAACAGTAAACAGAACCGGGACAGAGAGATGCAAGAGGAGGGCGAGAGGAGGGTGCGGGAGAGGGGCGCACGGTAAAAGTAATGTGAATCGAACACTCTCCAGCTGCTGCCTCCAGCTGCCGCATGCGCTTCTTCAGCCACTTCAGGCGGATCTCGGACAGAGACTTGGGCTGTGGGAGGTAAAACGGATGGAAAAGAGGAGGACGCATGGAGGGTTAGAGGGCTGCACAGGAAAGACCACACTGGGATGGGACTCTCAGAGGCTCTCCTCCTCCAGCTGCTGCATGCGCTTCCTCAGCCGGCCCAGGGGGATCTCATAGAGAGGGACTTGGGCTGTGGGAGTAAACAGGGCCGGGAAGCATAAAGGCATTGGTTTGGAACATGGGTTGGGCCTTGAGTTGGGATCTGACACAGGAAACACCATGGTAATCAGAACCTTCTCCTCCTGCACCTGCCGCATGTGCTTCCTCAGCAGCAGCTCCAGAATCCCGTACAGCGAGTTGGGCTGTGGGAGCAAATGGGGCAAATCCGGGCGAGAGGATGGCGCATCATCAAGTAGTGGGTGGGTGGGTGGGTGGGTGGGTGGGTGGGAGGGTGGGTGGGAACGAGGGCTGTGGTGTGTGTGAGCTTCAAGAGTTCTCGAGAGAGGGCCGTGAACTGCTGGGACGTCCCATCCATTGTCCCCACCCACCACCTCTTCCTTTCTAGCTCACTGTCACCTCCCCACCGCCTCCCCACTTACCGTTCCCAACCGATTCTCTTAACGCACCTCCTCGTCCTCCTTCTCTCCACCCTCCTCATCCTCCTCCTCCTCCTCCTCCAACAACCCCTTCTTCCTCCTCTCCACCACTGCCTTCCCCTCCTCCTCTCCTTCCTCCTCATCCTCCTCCTCTCCCTCCTCGTCCTCCTCCTCTTCGCCTTCGTCCCCCTCCTCCTCCTCATCCTCCTCCTCCCCATCCCACTCCTCCACCTCAACATCCTCCACATCCTCCTCCTCTTCGCCCCTCATCACCCTATCCGCTTCCAGGTGGCTCTCTGGCGCTTTCCTCCCGAAAAAGTCCTCGTATCTGGGAAGGACGACGAAAGGGAGAGAACAATGGGGCAAGCCAATGGGGAACGTGCAGTACAAGGGTTGGGATAATGAGGAGAGGGAAACAAAACAGCGCACGTGATTGGGACATTAAGAAGCCTAATCTCCTCCTTCCCCCCTGCATAGACCCATGGAACAGCATCGAAGTTTAAAGCTCACCTGATCATGGACCCATCTACCCATGCCTACTTCTTCTGAGCCTTCCTTGCATACAAGCAAGCTCAGCTCAAGACTCCATACCCCCTCCCTGCACTCACTCTTTGCTGCATGCCCACCCATTCGAGCACAACCGTGGGATGCCTTAATCAAATCCAACAGCTCTCACCTGATCATGGCGCCATCTAGGAGCGCCCTCTTCTTCTGTGCCTTCTTCCGCCCTCCCTGCTCACACACACACACACACATGCATACGCACATGCGTATCACACGCACACGCACACGCACACACACACGCACACACACATGCATACGCACATGCACACGCACACGCACACGCACACGCGCATGCCACGCACAAAGACATGCACACAGACATGGCAAACACATAGACACACATACATGCACGCACATGTCACAAACACACATGCCACCACAAAAGCACACACACGTGCATGGGCAGGCCGTGCAATCACGCACATGCCACACACATAGCAACAGCAGCAGACCTTTATTACAATTCATGCTTCAACACTTCTCCTTAATCCTCTAAAACCCGAAACCCACCTCCCCATCCCTCCCCACCCCTCCCGACCCCTCCCCATCCCTTCCCATCCCTCCCCACCCCTCCCATCCATCCATCCATCCATCCATCCATCCATCCATCCATCCATCCATCCATCCATCCATCCATCCATCCATCCATCCATCCATCCATCCATCCATCCATCCATCCATCCATCCATCCATCCATCCATCCATCCATCCATCCATCCATCCATCCATCCATCCATCCATCCATCATCTCCCCACTGTCCCTTACCTCGTCCCCATCATCCTCTTCCCCCCCACCAGGCGACCCTGCCCTGTAAAGCGCCTCAAACGCCCCCTCCCCATCCTCTTCATCCCCTTCCTCCTCCTCCTCCCCATCTCCCTCCTCCTCTTCCTCTCTCCTCGCTTTCCTGATCTCTTCCATTAAAGCCAATTCATCCTCGTCCTCCTCCTCCCCATCCCCCTCCCCCTCGTCATCCTCCTCATCAGAACCCATTACTATCCCTCTCCTCCTCCCCTCCCGCATCAATCCCTCCTCATCCTCCTCTTCTTCCTCCTCACCACTCTCCCCTTCAGAACCCCCCAACCCTAAACCCTGTACCCGCTCCTTTTCGTCACTTCCCTCCTCGTCCCCTTCCCCTTCTCGCCCCTTCCCCCCTTTCCCCCCCTTCCCCCGCATCTCCTTCCCTTGTACTTTCCCTCCCCCCTGACCGGCTTCCCCCTTTCCGCCTTTCCCCCTGACAAGCTTCGGAACCCGAAAAAAGTCCTTCCCCACCGCCTTCCCTTCCATGAGCTCCTCCGCCCGCTTCAGCCGCCGTCGAATGCGGGGAAGTGTCGGCGCCATAGCCAGGTCCAGCTGGTACCAGATCTGCTCCGAATCAAATCCATCGACGAAAAGCCCAGGAAGCTTCCTTTCCGGGGCTAACGACTGTGATTTGGTAAAACCGGACGCTCCTTTTTTCCCTCCACCAGATGCGGCGTCACGTGCGGCGTCCTTTGCGGCGTCCAGGTTGGACATTCCGGTGTCGAAGAGAGCCTTCACTGCGGTGCGAAGCTGCTGCGAAAGGTCCGACGAAGGTGCGAGGAAAGAGGTGGGTGGGAGATCGCCGAGCGACTCCAGAACGGTCTTAGTGGCCTCATCCTCGTTAGTAAGTGTAGCAGGCATGACGCGCTTAACGGGTGCACGCAGGCTGCGAAAGCTCGGAACGCAGGCTGCACTCACGAAAGTGTAACTAACTTTAATTTCGGAAAAGGCGGCTCAGAGCTGAAATTGCCTCACGCAGACATCGACCGGATAGATAGCAACGTCTACCGAAGCCTTTGTTGCGTTGCGATGCGTTGCTTTGCGATGCGACCCTACTATAGTGGTTTCCAGCCTGCTACGGCACAGCACGGGAGGGGAGTCGCAAGAATGGTGGAAATAGGGCCAGGGGCGGGTGTTTGGGGTTGGCAAATGAGGTTTAGGGCGCTTCACCTCTCAGTTCGAACAGCACGGTTGTTCGAACAGGCGAAATGTTACATTTTTCGCCACTCCTCGTATGGGTGTTCGTGACGTCGCTAGTCGGAAATTTCGCGAATTTGAAATAGAGTTGTCACACGGGGCACGAAGCTCTCCATTCCGCACGTTCGAACAGAGTTGTTCGAACAAATTTGGGTTTGGTGACAGGAATTCCGCATGGACGACTGATTTTATTGGTTAGCAGGCTTCGGGTCGCACACGAATGTTTGCGACCATTGCAAATGTCGCCATGCAGGAGAAAGTTCGGCCAATATCATACATACTCAAAGTATGCCCGAAAACGCTTGCAGGTGTAATCTAGCCAACAGTAATGCGAACAGTGGCACTGTTCCCAGCAGAAATCTGTCTTGGCGCGCCACCCGCAGCTTCACCAGTTGACCAACGTTGCTTCTGCACAGTGAAGGCACCACAGTGCAGGCATGTCAGAAGCGAATCCCAAACCACACACCCATCTGTCCACAAATCGAGCCCCCCAACCCAAACCAAAGCGGCAGTCTCCGCCCCCCCTCCTACCCCTAAACCCCCAAACCGAACCTGCGGGTACCCAACGGTACTCGTTGCGGAACTCCCTCCCGCCAAGTCCCTTGTTCTCGATTGGGATTACCGTGACAAGCAGAAGCCGCAGAAACAAAACTACAACGACCATGGAAACGCACACACATATGTTTCACATATGTGTAAGAAACATTGACATGTTGAGATAGAGAGAAAGATATATTTATAATTTGTATAGATTATTCAGCACAATCTAAGATATACATATGTACATACTCCTGAAAATAATTCTCGACTATTGAAATGAGACCGCCGGAGTGCTGACATCGCTGTTGCGGTATTCACCTGCGAATGAATTGTAAAATGCATGCTCAATGTTGCATTGCACTTCGTTCCTTGATATACAGCTTAACATTCCGCCTAGTTATTTAGTGTCTTCCTTGATATAAAATTAAACTCGTGCCAAACTTCTGTGTGAACACAAGAAGTAGCAAAAACACTGCTATAGCGCTGCGATCATCCACACAACCATCTGCCTTTCTCCATGGTCTCCCATTATAGGGTGACTTTCAGTTGCGGGAGAGAGAGAGATAGAGAGAGACAATGAATGAGAGAGAAAGTGAGAAATTAAAAAATAAAAAATAAAAAACAAAAACAGGTTTGCACAGCAAAGCACCGTTGGGGATTTTCATGATTACCAAATACGATAGGGGTTCGAGTAGGTCAGGAAATTCACAGACGTACCCTACAAATAACCCCTTTACACTTCGGCAGCTAATGTACTTAGTACGTTGGAATTGTATACGTCTACTTAAAAAGGTTCTAGGTGTAAAAGGCTACAGAAACATAAATATTAAATTACTGGGCCAATGTCTTGATGCCGTCAAGCATACACTACAGTGTGTCACCTGCCAAAATAAGGTACGCAGGTTGAGCAATAATAGAAACATGGATTAGGCACATGTTATGAAGAAGAGGTGAGTCCTGCGAAGAGAGAGAGCGAGCGAGAGTCAGCAAGAGATAGGGGGAGACAGCGTGAGGTGCGGCACGATACCTGCCCTGACGTGATGCTCTACTGATTCCCTGTGTCGAGCGCCTGGTTAGCATTGACTCTCGCCTCAGTTGACGTTGATAGCGCTGCTGCTGGGATGCAAGGCCTGCATCCTGAAAGTACCCTGCTTCCCAGGATTGAAGTGGAAGCTGCTGTTGCATCAATGGCTGCTGTTGCTGCTGCATCCCTGGCTGCTGCTGCTGCTGCATCAGTGGCTGCTGCTGCTGCATCAGTGGTTGCTGCTGCTGTTGCATCAGTGGCTGCTGCTGCTGTTGCATCCGTGGCTGTTGCTGCTGCTGCATCACTGGCTGCTGACGCTGCTGCATCAGTGGCTGTTGCCCCTGCTGCATCACTGGCTGCTGCTGCTGCATCAGTGGCTGTTGCTGCTGCATCAGTGGTTGCTGCTGCTGTTGCATCAGTGGCTGCTGCTGCTGCTGCTGCATCCGTGGCTGTTGCTGCTGCTGCATCACTGGCTGCTGACGCTGCTGCATCAGTGGCTGTTGCCCCTGCTGCATCAATGGCTGCTGCTGCTGCATCAGTGGCTGCTGCTGCTGCTGCATCATCAGCTGCTGTTGCAACTGCAGCACCTGTTGCTGCAGCTGCTGGATCAACAGTGTTGCATCAGGCTGCTGCTGAACCATAGGATCCTGTCCTCTTGATCTCCCATTTGCTCGACCACCTTGACGTGGACGTTGAGCTTGATTTTGTCTCCTCCTAACCCTTCGACCACTAGGCTGTGTGCGTCCTTGCCCAAGATCGGAGTCCTCATTCTCCTCAGCCCCTCCCCCTTCCTCCTCACCTTCCTCGGGGACCACCTCAACCTGTAACCTGAACCTCTGTCTTCGTCTTAGCCGTCGCGTAGCAACTGGCTCATTGACATAAGGCTGGTCTTGCACACGAACATGTGACCAGAATTGTGCCATTGGATTTGCGGTCTGATGGGGGCTTCCATCCATCGGCTGCGCGTCACCAACACCTTGGGTAACATAGTCTGGTGTGAGTGCATGGCCGTCTGAAATTACTTGACCATCATTGTGCACGCTCATATCCTCCCCCACCAATGCACCTCTGTTTGTGGCCTCGCTAGCAATGCGGGAGATGTTGACAGTTGTGTTCGGATTGGGACCAGGTACTTGCATGCCCGTCTCGTTCGCGGACAACACCTCGTCAGAGGTACCGTGTGGACCCTCCATTTGCAGCCGTGCATCCCCCAGTGTAAGGACCTCTAAGGTCACTCCCTGTTCCCTACCATTGGTACTATCAAGCTGCAGCTCCCCTTCTTCAACATCTGATTCATCACAGTCACACTCATCATCAGATGAGCCTTCTTCCTCGTCAACGCCACCCTCACATGCCACCATTGGAGCATCACCATGTGTTCCCGCATTTCCTTCTGTGTCCACACCTCCTATGACCGGGGCGGCAGGCCCCTGATGCTCATCCACCATTTCCGTATTTTCCTCCTCTTCTTCATGGCTACCTGTCTCTTCGTCAGCACCTTCCTCAAGGTCCTCAATCTCAACCACCCACTCAGCAGGTGGGGTCGAACCACGGACACGTTGTGGCCTATCCACATCCTGCCGCATCAAATCTCTGAAGGGCAGTCCCACTCTTCCAGGCAGCTGCCCACTTCCCTGCAGCTGCCCACTTCCCTGCAGCTGCCCACTTCCCTGCTGCTGCCCACTTCCCTGCTGCTGCCCACTTCCCTGCCGCTGCCCACTTCCCTGCTGCTGCCCACTTCCCTGCTGCTGCCCACTTCCCTGCTGCTGCCCACTTCCCTGCCGCTGCCCACTTCCCTGCCGCTGCCCACTTCCCTGCAGCTGCCCACTTCCCTGCAGCTGCCCACTTCCCTGCCGCTGCCCACTTCCCTGCTGCTGCCCACTTCCCTGCTGCTGCCCACTTCCCTGCCGCTGCCCACTTCCCTGCTGCTGCCCACTTCCCTGCAGCTGCCCACTTCCCTGCTGCTGCCCACTTCCCTGCTGCTGCCCACTCACTTGCTGCTGACCATGTCCCTGCTGCTGTCGTCGAAGTCAATCGTCTCTGAGCCTGTGTTGACGCCCACATGCCGTGCATGCAATGTACGTTCCACTGACCCGTGGAACTACACTTGTCTGCAGGGAAATGTGGTCCTGAACCGACCTTTGTCCTCTCCGTGCCCGTGCCTCTTCCCGATCCTCACATGTGCGGACGTTGTGCCCCTTCTGCTTGCACCTACTGCATTTGCGCAACTTGAGAGGGTCAAACTCACCTCTCGAGCGAATGCGCTTGTTTTTCCGTCGTCCAGACCTTTTCTTGTACTTCGGAGGAAGGGTGGTGCGATCGGGAGTGCAAGAAGATGGATCCAAGGGTTCAATCTCCTGAGCATACATAGCCCTGAGCGTCTCCAGTCTGTACACCCGATGGACCAGGTCAAATGTTTGACTATCTTCTCCCGATGCCGCAAAAATGTGGACACAGGGCAGACCATATTCCCTGCAAGAGATTCGGGGTAAAGATGACAACTTGTTTGTACAGGAAATGAAAATGACAGCTGGCAGGGATGTTGATAATTTATAGCAAAGTAGGAAAGTGTTAAAGTTTAATTAAACGCTAGTAGCAGCCTCACATACCTGGAGTAGTTGCATGTGCACGTCTTGTTTGTAAGGTCCACAATACGAGCTTCATTGCGTTCCGAGTGCTCGATCAGCCAGCGCCCTCGTGGAAGCTCACGCACTGTGTAGCTTGCAGAATCGCGAAAGTTGGCACGCACAACTTCCGTTGCGATTGTGCTCCATTCCCCCGAGGTCTTGGAGTATGCCGTGAACCGATCGCAACGGGTTAGTGCGAGTCTCAGCGCCCAACTTAAAATCACAAAGGCAATTGCCTTATCCCGCAATGTAGACATGGATGCGTGTTGAGACTCAACAGGGTTGGATGTAAGACACCCAAACCTTGGCCTTGGAAACTTGGCTGTTGCCCATCTTGTAGCCAATTGCCCATCCTCCCCCTCCAAGTACGCTCGACCACCAGGACATTGTGCTTCTATCTTTCCCATGCGAAAGTCATACAACTGCTCCGTCAATGACTCGGATGCATCCCGAATGAGCTGACTCAAATCGAGGCCAAATTTCGCCTTGAAGTTGCGTGTGAGGTGCGTCACGCAATACGAAACTTGTGCATTCGGAAGCACCGCACGACACGCGGCATCCCATCCCTTGGCACGGTCGTGCTTCACTGTCCACGACGCAGAGTTCAACTCTGGAAATGCGCGCACCAGCAGTCTTAGCGGCAAAGAGCATCCCTCCTCGCTTTCAGACTCAACAAAAGCTATGCCCACCGACACATAATGCCCATCCCCATCAAGTACGACAAGGTTTATAGTGTGCCCCCCCCATACTGTTTTATTGTGACACCCGTCAACAATCAGTATCGGCACAGCGTTCAACATCGTTGACCGCGCAACATTTGGTATTACACAAGCACTCAAATAACGACCCTCTCGTCTGCTCAAGTAGACCAAAGTCCCAGGGTTCTTAGCCACGAGCCTCTCCATTATGCTCTGGACGAACTCGTAAGATTTTTCAGTTTGCAAGGGGTCATTCTCTTTCAAGTCCCTAAGGGCCCGCCATGCTGTTACATACGTTGCTTTTGCCCCATGACGCTGCTGCATCTCATTTCTCAGATCATTCGGCGTCAAGCTACCTGTTGGCAATGACATTGCCAGAGCAGTCAGAGTTTTCCTACGGGCATTGTGAAGACGAGCAGTGCATCGTGTATGGTGCAGTAGGTGTGTATCCGTAACTCGCAAGTCGCCACAGCTTGTGGTCCGTATGTTGATCTTGAAAGGACAACGGAAGCCAAGAGCTGTCGTTTGCACACGGCCTCTGGTGGAACGACTCACAACTGAAGGACACCTCACATCCAACCTCACTGTTGTATTCTGAGAGATGACGAAGGGCACCTGCAATCGATGGCATTGCTTGTAGATGTCATCCCGTGCCTCAATAACGGTGCTGTAGCGCTTTCCTACTACAAAGTCCAGTGTGCTGCCGCGGTTATCCATCTGCGCAAAAAAAAAAAAGAGAAAAAAAAAGGAAAACAGATAACATAAGGAGGACAGTGAGCGGAAGGAGGGCAGGGGCGGAAAGAGGGCAGGGCGGGTGCAAATAGAAAATGCTAGCAATTAGAACTGCCGTAACCCTCACCAAAGTGCTGTCACAATAGAGGTAGCGGCCTGATCGGTTAGAGTTGGCACCCTAAGGCGTATGGAATTAGGACCACCAAAACTGTTGAATGAAGACAACGAAGACTTAGGTAAGACATTGTGAGAATAAGACACTTACAATGTAGAATGACCACTATGGACCCTTTGTCCTTTGTACGTAAGCCATTCCGATGAAAGATCTAAAAAGGCACAAGTTTATAACATTCAGATATTGGCCATTAACAGCTTTAATCAAAGCATTCTTGATTGTACTCTACGGGTATTTGACTTTCTGCCATGTTTCTAAGAAACCAGGAAACCTGACTTTAGGGTTTCGAAGCTCCAAGCTTTCTGTGCCTGCTGGATGACACTCACATTTCGACAGCGAGGGACTTCGAAGTGAGATATGGAAATGATGAGGGGGTGGGTGGAACGGGGGGGGGGGGGGGGGGGGGGCGGGGAAGGAATTGGTTTGGTTTCCGCAGGTTCGTTTTGTGTGCGAGGGAGACTGCTGCTTTGGTTTGGTTTGGGGGGCTCGATTTGTGGACAGATGGGTGTGTTGTTTGGGATTCGCTTCTGACATGCCTGCACTGTGGTGCCTTCACTGTGCAGAAGCAACGTGGGTCAACTGGTGAAGCTGCGGGTGGCGCGCCAAGACAGATTTCTGCTGGGAACAGTGCCACTGTTCGCATTACTGTTGGCTAGATTACACCTGCAAACATTTTCGGGCATACATTGAGTATGTATGATATTGGCCGGAGAAAGTTCATCGATAAGGACATTGTTGTTGGGAAACAACAAGGTGAGCAGTAGTAGAAGAGCACGAAGAGACTGTTTGACTGGATGGGCGAAAAATGAGTCAAACTTGAATGGCAGACGACATAATTATTTTTTTGCGACGTTTCGCGAAGTCGTCCAGCACTTGGCGACGTCGCATGTTCGAACAGGCTGTCACCTCTAGTCACGAGCTGTCACATTCACCAAGGTGTTCAAATTTGTGTTCGGATCTCGTCGGGAAACTGTTCGTACAGCGAATTCGTTACGTATGTTCGGATTTGGGCCTTCCAGCCCCGAGGTGATGCGCCCTAAGGGCGAAGTTGAAATGCACATCTAACACGAGTCTCAAAACGCAATAAGGGATTGTTTCAACAATTACATTGCTACTTCATAACGCGTATAGGCAACCATTTGTGCCCCTGAAACCCCGCTGAAAGCATCAGGCCGCCATATCCTTTGGTGTGTTTGGCATTGACTCAAAACACAACCATGGCGGGCGTCGCATGTTCGTAACTGTCGTGAGGCTTCATAGCCCGCCGTATCCTGGCGGTATCAAGTGTCAGGGCTTAAAAGAACTTGTCATTTTGCCGTGATCTCACAGCAATTTCGACTTCATCTCACTGTTTCGCTGTCATCTCGCCAGAATTTCGCCGTCGTCGTCGACTTGCATCATTCAACCGCTCGACATGATTCGCCGCCTCCTCGTTCGCTTGCTCCTTTCGAAGCAGCCGCCTGCTCGCGCGAACCCCAACCACTCCCTCTTAACGGGACTGCGCGAACCTTCGTCTTCTTACCACGATGGCCTTTTATCGCGTACAGACGGCGCGCCGTTAGCGCCAGACATGGAGTACCTCCGCCTCTTCCGCCAGCGCACGGCGGAGTTCCGCGCGCTCGGGGGGGAAGCGCTGGTGGGGGGAAAACGGGCGGAGAGTGGCGGAGAGGGGGGAAGAGAAGCAGCGCCGCTGAATCCGCTGCTCGTGCCCTACATTGACTTGAACATCGCTCCTCTCCGCAGAATATACGCCTGGTACGTGGAATTGTAGCTCCCCAGGGTACTTGCTACTACATGTAGGCCTCACTCTTCGGCTGCTGCTACTGCTGTTGCTGCTCGTGCCCTGCATTGACTTGAACATCGCTCCTCTCTGCAGAATATATGCCTCGTACGTCGTATGGTACGACGGCTACTAGCTATACGCTCTTAAGGCTACTAGCTACTAGATATACGCTCCGGAGGAATCACTCTGCGGCTGCGGCTGCGGCTGCGGCTGCGGCTGCGGCTGCTGCTGCTGCTCGTGCCTTTCGTTGATCTGAACATCGCCCCGCTCAGCAGAATATACGCCTGGTTCGCCTGGCAGGCAGCTTTTAGGACCGCTCACTCTGCTACTCCTGCCGCCGTCGCCGCACATGGACCCTCCACCGTCGCCACCGCTGCCGGCGCCTGAGCCTCGTTCAGCTCCTTTCCTGTCGTGCCGTCCCTCCGCTTCTCTGCCCCTGCGCCCCTCCGTTTCCACAGGGCCGTACCCACAGAGGCTGCACTGGCAGCTTTTGTGTCGACTCAAAAGTCACCTCTTTTCTGCCGTCTCTCCGCTTCTCTGCCCCTGCGCCCCTCCGTTTCTGCAGGGCCGTACCCACAGAGGCTGCACTGGCAGCTGTGAAGGCGGCTGCAGAAGGGAGGGGGGTGATGGAGGTGAGCGATGGGGAGTGGCACTAAGGGGAAAACGGGGGTGAAGGGGAGGGAAGAGCGGTCTGAGGGAGTGGAGTGGGATGAGGGGATGAGAGTATGTAGTGTGCGTGTGATGGCGATGATTGAATGTGATTGTGTGTGTGAAAAACGACACACGTTTCTGAGCTGCACTGCTGCTTATTCTGGTAAAACGTCTAAAAGAGGACATGCTAAATAATCTCTCGTTCCATGCTCACCACAACCATGGCAGGTGGGCGCAGGAACGGGTTACTGGGCTGCACTGCTGAGGAGGAGAGGTGTTGACGTGGCAGCGTATGATTGGACGCCTCTGGACAGTGCTGGAGGCAGCAGCAGAAACGTCGGCAGCGGCAGCAGCATGAGAGGCAGCAGCGATAGCAGCAGCAGCAGCAGCAGCAGCGACAGCAGCCGAGTGAATGGTCACCACGCCCTTCCCATGGCATTGGGGAGTCAGCTAGTTAACGTGCCGCCTTTCACTCATGTGTCTGGTGCGCACCTCTCTTGCAATGTGTTCGTTACTACAGTGTCTGTTGCTGGTTATTATAGTAGCTTGTTCTTGAGAATTCTCATGAACCACTCATGTGTCTGGTGAGCACCCCTCTTCCAGCGTTTGTTTCAACGATGTCTCTTGTTGATCACTGAATTACAGCTGCTCATTCGAATCAACCATCCGGTCAGATTCAGCCGTTCCACCCTCCCTCTGGTTCCGCGTTCTTCCGTGCCCTTCGTTTTCTCAGAAGGAGATGCCTCGGTGTCTGCACTGCATCCTGACCGTTCATTGCTGCTGTGCTGGCCCCCACCTGAAGGAGTAGAAGCATCTGAAGCAGCAACAGCAAGTGGAGGAGGAGAAGCAGCAGCAGCAACAGTAGCAGGGGGAGCAGCAGCAGTAGCCGGGGGACCAGCAGCAACAGCAGAGGGAGCAGCAGCAGCGGGGGGGGCAGTAGCAAGAGGAGCAGCAGAAGTAGATTCGGCATCGAATGCTGAGGTGCCATCACTGGCAGCTGACGCTTTGCGCCACTATATGGGTTCCACTTTGGTGTTTATTGGAGAATTCCCACTTCAATTCCTACAAACACACTCCGTACAGTCAAATGACTGTTCCCTACAGGTGCACTCTTCTCAATCGCCCTCATTCCAGCCGCAGACCGCCGGCCCGCGGTTTCTCTCCCTTCTGGAGAAGGAATGGATGCTGGTTGAACACGTGGCTCTTCCCAATTGGCCAGAGACACACGACTGTCTGACGGTATGGAGAAGGAAAGGAAGTTCCAATAGCGACGGAGCCATTGCAGGAGACAATAGCAAGTGTGACAATAGTGGGGGTGATACTAAGCTACACGGCAGCTGTGAAGGCAGTGTCAGAAGTGGAAGCATTACAAAAGTAAACAGAGAGTCGTCTCAGTTCCCTGGGTCCTCTGACAGGGAAGATTTAATCAAACGCCAGCGGCAGCACTGGGACAATGTGGTCATGGGAAGGCTTTTCTTATCCCCATCCATTGCGCGTGGCAGGTCATCAACGAATACTAAGCTTGTTCAAGCGATGGAGGTGGAGGCGGTGAGAGGTTGGCTCCTCAGAAGTCAGTGGTCGAGCCTGATGGGTGGTCTTCCATTTCTTCTTCTTTCCCCTTGGTTTAAAGCCCGCGGCCCAAATTGCGGACCGCGCGGGTCAAGTTTTTAAAACTTTGCAAGCTTTGAAAAGAAGTGCAGCTGCAATTAGGGACTGTCGAGGTCTCACACCCACCACCAGTGTAGAAACGAGGGGCTGGCTGGGTTTGACGAAAAAACGAATTTCACAAAATCGGAAACACTCGCCAACACCCTAACCAGCCAAAACCCCTCTCGTCAACTTTTTAAAACTTGTGCAATTTGGGCCAACGGTTTTAAGATGTTCAGTCAAAGCAGGGTGGGTGCTTAAGTTTGTGCTCCACGAAAATGTATCGTCTCCTGTTTCACTTCTTATTGGCACACGGAATAGCGGGTACACACACCTGGCTCAGCGCTTTTGGGAAGGTTCACGCGCCTCCAACAGCAGTGTACACCTGGCACTCACTCGTGCCGCCACTTCAGGTCGCGCATTCTCGACGGTCCAGCTGGCAACTACTTTCGTTCGCGAGATATGGTTATGGAGGTCGTGGGACTTCGTCCACCCTCGTCTGCTTCGCTCACATAAAATTTCGTCCCCCTACCATCCAGTCCCAGCCATGATCATGGAACAAATTCTCTGCTCTTTCACCATCATTTCGATCATTTGTAGTCGCAGCTTGGAATCGTTGGTTCTTCCTGACATTATCAGCACGCTCACGTCATACGGCGTCATAGGGCTCCATACCTCCACTGCGAATTCGTCAGCCGCAGCGTACGATTAGACTTTGCACATCGTCACTTCAGCAGGAAATCTCTGTTTTACGAGATCATGGCGTCAGTTCCTTCAGTTGCCGCGACTGTCACCGCGTCCGCTCTCGCCCACAGACTGGCTGGGGCAGGCAAGCCTTCCTCAGTCGCTCAGTCTAGTCAAACAGATTCTCACGCTGCGATGGCTTCATTAGCCGTTCGCATGGACTCTCAAGGCGTTCGCTTGCGCGGTAGGCTCGGCAGTTCGTTCGGGGGAGCTTCGGTGCTGGAGCGACCGGGATTGGACCAATCAGGAGGAGCGGACGGCGCTCCGAAGACGGACGCCGGCGGAGAGATGGGGCAGCTGAAGCAGCGGATGCGGAACGGAGGGGGGGATCGGTACCGCGTGCTTCTACTGGACCACGAGAAGCACACGGAGGATGGAGGTGAGCGAGTGCTTACTTTGTGCTGTCGCGTCGCTTCAGCTTGTTTCTGTGGTGACCGAAAACCTTTTCCCTAGTTTTTAAGCGGAGGAGAGGAGGGGGAGAGAGGGGGGGAGTGGAGGTGTGGGGAGGGGGGTTGGGGGGTTGAGGAGGAGGGAGTGAGGGGGAGATTTTGCGTCGTCCTGATCTCTTTGTTTTTCGTTCGGTTGTCACAAGTTCTTCTCGCCCTTTCCACTCTCCTTGCAACCGTTTCCCATGTGCTCGCTCTGTGCATCAGTCGCGAAGGTGCTGCCAACAGTGGTTCCTTCAGTCACGGTGGACGACGCGCGGCGGGTGTTCAACGAGTCCAGAGAGCTGGGTCAGGGGCTCGTCTGCGTCGCCATCAAGGTGAAAGTTCTTTCATTACCTTGAGCTGCTTTTGTTTGTTCGTTTTCTTACCATGCATGGTCATGATGGTAGCTGTTGCGGCTGAATGAGGGTTCTGGAAGGGATGTGTGATGGAAGGGGTTTGTTGGGGTACTTTCAACACCACTGTCATACAATCTTGATGGTTGTCTCCTTGCTGTGTGCAGGAACATGCTGAGTTTTATGCGCAGCACATGGCCATGAAAGGCCTGCGTTCCACTATTCAGCCGGATGGCCTAGTCATTTAATTGGAATAAGGGTTGTACCTCTCTAGATGGTGGCGTAGCAGATTCTTAGTCATTTATATGTTTAGTTATGATGGATATACGTTTATGAAGGACTTATCTGTCTCCTTTTGAATGATATCATTTATCTTGAAATGAATTAACAACAGGCTCATGTGGTACTATGATACAGTCAAACCCAGCTACACTGATTTTCTTCAGGTTTTTAGTAGTCAGCATGTGGCTTGGGCTTATGACAGGACTTTCCCTGGTCAGCCGGGTTCGGTTCGGCGTACTGCTAATATCGAATTATTGCCCTGAAGTCGCAGGCCAAGGCTTCTGACACACACCTCTTCACTCTCCCGAGCCTGACCGTTTTCCCTCCCATTCCATTTCTCAGCTCGCCCTCGCGATACGGGAACAGTTATGGTTGTAGACATTCGGCAAGATCGAAGTTTCTGCTCTGCGCCACCGTCCTGTCAAGGGGTGTACTTCCCCCCCCTGTTTTTCCCGAACTTCCCGCGCCCATCCCGGCGTGCGACTCTATTCCTCCTCCCTCCGCGTCCTCGTGATTCTTCTGCCACTCTGCTCCCCGCTTCCACGTGGTTCTTCCGCTCCTCGCCCTCCGTAACTCCATGTTCTTTCCTCCTCTCAACACCCCCCCCCCCCCCCCCCCCCCCCCCCCCCCACCCTTCAACTCGAAATCGCTCCGCTCATCCCCCCATCGCCAGATTCACATCCACAGACCCAAGACTGGAGTTCCCATGACCTTCAGTCCGTTCAGTGGGAAGGGAATCCCGAAGTTTTCTTGTAGAACGACGTATCAGCAGCAGCAGTAGTTATCTCATCTGTGTGGGCCGCCATGGCTGCGTTAGGAAGGCTCGCCTGCGGGCTTGCTATATTCTGTTTGCTGTCTGGCCTGCTTGCCGAGGCGGCTGTACACGAGTATAATGGCGGGAAGTTTTTCCAAGCGTCCGATGCTTTCCTCTTCCGAGGCGGACGCGAAGGTCTGTTCGCATCCACGCCCGAGGCAGTTCGCCGTTGGGTGGACATCCCGAGAGGAGTCGCAAACGGGAAAGCATACATCCGGTAGGAATGATCTCGAGATGCTGGTAGTTAAGATCCCTTGGCGAACAAAAGAACGTGCATCCAATTTGATTCCATATTTAGATTGACCAGCAACAATGGGTTACGTTTTGGCTGGCGAATCAACGCAACTTTTTGTGAATTACTGTGCTCTTCAATCGATCCTGAAAAAGCATAGTTTAACGGAATTTTTTGTAGACTCCTGCGTGGCTGCTCCCATTGGTCATTGCCGGCTCCTGTCAGGGTCGTAGACTAATGCGTTGTATTGGGATCGGTACTTGCGTCGTCGCGTATCCAGGTTCGACAACCTGAAGTTCCATCGGCCGCTCTCCGAGGCTCAGGTGTCTCCGATCGCCGGGCAGACAGGGAGAATCGAGGCTCTGTTGTTCGAGGTGAAGGACCGCGACCGCATCGGCTATGCGTCGGCTTCCAACATCCGCGCGTTCTGCTGCTCTCCTGAGCTCGTTCAACGGACGGGATGCAACCCTGGACACATCATCGTGCGGCCGAGAGACGGGGATAACCAGGTACGGACATCATTCTTTCGGATCCGCGCAATAGTATTCTGATTCGCGTACATGTATAAGAATCCAAAGCGATGTTATTCTCTCGTCTAGTGGAACCCTAGAAGGTAAAGAGGCCAAGCGTAATAAAGAGATAAACAATATCATTGGTCCACGGTGGCCTCGCGTGGTGGAAATCAATATCATTGGTAACAACATGGCGGTGGCGGTGGCGCCGTTGGAGATCCACATCACGGCACCAACCAGGTTGTTCATATTTGACCCTTTCCGCTTCCACCCTGCATGATCAACTCCACTCCACAGTGGCCCCGCGTGGTGGAAATTAACTTCATTGGCAACGACACGGCGGTGGCGGTGGCGCCGTCGGAGATCCACATCACGGCGCCCGGCATGTACTACCTGTGGTTCGTCATCTGCGACAAGAGCCTCGCTGGCGTGGCCGTCACGGGCACGACCATCTGGAAGAACCCGGGCGGGTATCTGCCCGGCATGATGATGCCTTACCTCAACTTCTACGCGCTCATGTCCATGGTGAGTGGTATGACGTGTGCCATTGTAACGGGGTGACATTTCAGTCGCCCTAAAGTCACTGGCACGACCGTGTGAAAGAACCCGGGCGGGTATCTGCCGGGCATGATGATGCCCTACCTAAACTTCTACGCGCTCTTGTCCATGGTGAGTCTTCTTCTCTTGGCTTGATTGGATTCCGGTTTCGAAGTTTGAGCAGCGGACTTGTACGCGCTCATATCCATGGTGGCAAAGCTATCCTTTTGAGTGTATTAGAGGCAGTTCTAAAGCAGAAGAACCTGACTTGTACGCGCTGGTAACTGTGTACCCCCTGGCCGTGGCCGGTATCCCCTCCAGGCGTACCTGGTGCTGGGCGTGGTGTTGTTCTTGCCGTGAGCGCGTTTCTTGCGCAAAACTCCTACTCCCCTCCACCCGCCCCACACTCCCTTCCGCCCGTCCCCCCCTCCCACCCCCATCCCCACCTCTCCCTCGCTCCTCCCCCCCCTTCCCATCCCCCCAGGCGTATCTGGTGCTGGGCGTGGTGTGGTTCATGCAGTACGCGCGCTTCTGGCGCGACATCCTGCAGCTGCAGAACTGCATCACGGCCGTCATCGCGCTTTCCATGCTCGAGATGGCCACCTGGTACTTCGACTACGTCAACTTCAACGCCGGCGGCTTCCGCCCCTACGGGACCACCATCTGGGCCGCCACGCTCGGCGCGCTGCGCAAGGCGGTGTCGCGCGTGCTGGTGTTGATTGTCGCGATGGGGTATGGCGTGGTGCGGCCGACGCTGGGCGGGCTGTCAGGAAAGGTACGCTTCAAGAATGCACGGCAAGGGAGGGGAAGAGGAGGGGGAGGGGGATGTGAAGGGGAGGGGGATGTGAGGGGGAGGGGGATGTGAGGGGGAGGGGGATGTGAGGGGGAGTTCTGGGCGCTCTCCATGCTCGAGATGGCCACCTGGTACTTCGACTACGTCAACTTCAACGCCGGCGGCTTCCGCCCCTACGGGACCACCATCTGGGCCGCCACGCTCGGCGCGCTGCGCAAGGCCGTGTCGCGCGTGCTCGTGCTGATCGTGGCGATGGGGTATGGCGTGGTGCGGCCGACGCTGGGCGGGCTGTCAGGGAAGGTACGCCCAGGATGGGGGGAAAGGTGGGGGAGAGAAGCACAGGGATGGGGAGGAGAATGTGAGGAGGTGTTGCGTAAGGGAAGGGGGGAACGTAAGGGGGGAGGTGTTTGGGAAGAATGAGTGGGTATCATGGGCGCTTGGGCTGGTGAGGTGAGAAAGAAGAGTGGAAAACATGGGGTGACGGGGGAAAGGGAAGGAAGTGTGGCGAGTGTGGAAGGGAATGAGAGGGAGGGTGAGGGGGAAGCAGAAAGAGGGTGAAGGGGACGGAAGATGGAACGCAGGGTGAGGAAGCTTGTAGGGGGGAAGTGATAGGGGCTGGATTGGGCGGAAGTAATTGAGGGGGTAAAGATGGTAGAGAAGACGCGAAGTGACTCTCAGCAACTGTGGGGGCGACCTATGAGCCACACGGGCTTCCTGGTTTCCCATTCGAACGCGTCCCCCTCCCTCCCCACCTCCCGTCTCCTTACACCAAGTGATGGCGCTAGGTGCGGGGTACTTCTGTGCGGTGGAGCTGGTGGACGTGATGCAGAATGTGGGGGCGCCTGTCCTGCCTCTTTCTCTCTGTAACCCTCCTCCCCACACCCCTTTCTCGCCCCTCCCCCGCAGGTTATGGCTTTGGGTGCAGGTTACTTCTGTGCAGTGGAGCTGCTGGACGTGATGCAGAACGTGGGCGCCATCGACGACCTGAACAGCAGCGAGCGCCTCTTCCTCGTGCTGCCTGTCGCTGTGCTCGACGCCATCTTCATCCTCTGGATCTTCTCCTCGCTCTCCAAGACTCTCTCGCTGCTGCAGGTATGGTCGTAATGTTGTGGAGGGGGGGGGCGGCACAGTGCTCTTGTTGCTCCTGGGTTCCTGGGTGGAAGCGTGTGTGCAAGGATAAAAGAGTGGCCGTGCTGGACGCCATCTTCATCCTCTGGATCTTCTCCTCGCTCTCCAAGTCTCTCTCCCTGCTGCAGGTGGGCCTGTAGTGTTGAGGGGAAAGGTGTGGATGGGTGGGTGGAGGGGGTGGGGGGGGGGGGGGGGGGGGGGGGGGGGGGGGGGGGGGGGAGTGCACTTGTTGCAGGTACGGTCACATTAGGGTGGTAACAGTGCTCTCGTTCCTAAGCTCCTTTGGGGTGCTCTCGTTCCTAAGCTCCTTTGGGGTGCTCTCGTTCCTAAGCTCCTTTGGGGTGCTCTCGTTCCTAAGCTCCTTTGGGGTGCTCTCGTTCCTAAGCTCCTTTGGAAAACAAGGGAAATTTTTGAGACGTCTCAAAAAGCGGTCCCATTAGGTTGGTCACAGTGCTCTCGTTCCTAAGTTCCTTTGTAGAACAGGGGAGATTTGGGGAATCAGCTCGTGGGAACGGGGATGAGGGGATGATGACTGTCTTCATGCCCGTTCATGCCTTTTAATGCCCGATGTGCTCATCTCATCCGTGCCCGTTCGCGCCCATATATTACCCTTTTATGTCGCTTCCCTCTCCTCCGCCCTCCTGTCCACCAGATGACGCGGCCGGGGTCGAAGCTGGATCTGTACCGCAAGTTCACTCCTTTTGACCCCCCTTCCCCCACACCCCAATTCTCCAACCCACCTCCCCCTTTCTTCCTTTGCCCACCAGACGACGTGGTCGGGGTCGAAGCTGGAGCTGTACCGCAAGTTCACGTCTTCGTATGCCGCTTCCCCCAAACCCCCCCCCAACCCTCCGCCCCCCCCCCCCCCTCTCCCTCGCTTCCTTTGCCCACCAGACGAAGCTCAGGGTCGAAGCTGGAGAAGTACCGCAAGTTCACTAATGGCATGGCGCTGGTCGTGCTGGTGACTTTCAGCCCTTTCATGCCCAATCATGCCGTTCTATCATGCCCCACCCCTCCTGCCTCCTTTCCTTCCCCCACCTATCAGACGAAGCGATCAGGGTCGAAGCTGGAGCGGTACCGCAAGTTCACCAACGGCATGGCGCTGGCTGTGCTGGTGTTGGTTGCATGGAAGGGCATTCCCCAAAGCTCCATTCTCCCCTGCCTCAACCCCCCTGCCCCACCCCCCGTTTCTTTCTTCTTCCAGACGAAGCGCACAGGGTCGAAGCTGGAGCTGTACCGTAAGTTCACCAACGGCATGGCTCTGGCCGTGCTGGTCTCTGTAGCCTGGATCGCATACGAGGTGCGCACTGAACCACACTGCACCCGTGCTTGTTCGCTACACGAGATTATGTTGCTTGTCTCTGTGCTGATCCTGTTTGGCCCAATCCACATGTTGGTCTGATCCTCCTCTGTTTGTCTTTGTCCTCGAATGCATGTGCGGCCATCAGTCTCAAAACTGTCAATCTGTGTTGTGGAATGTCTGAAACCGTGTGTGATCTCAAACCGTGTGTGATCTCAAACCGTGTGTGATCTCAAACCGTGTGTGATCTCAAACCGTGTGTGATCTCAAACCGTGTGTGATCTCAAACCGTGTTTCTCCCATCTGTTTCTCCCATCTGTTTCTCCCATCTGTTTCTCCCATCTGTTTCTCCCATCTATTTCTCCCATCTGTTTCTCCCATCTGTTTCTCCCATCTGTTTCTCCCATCTGTTTCTCCCATCTGTTTCTCCCATCTGTTTCTCCCATCTGTTTCTTCGCATCTTCCCATCTGCCCCTCCCCGTCTGCTCAACCCTCATCCAGATGTATGTGCGGCTGTCGGACCCGTACAATGAGAGGTGGGAGGCGGATTGGATCACGGGGTGCTTCTGGCACCTGCTGCAGTTCGTGCTGCTCTGCGCCATCTGTGTGCTCTGGGCGCCCTCCCTCAACTCCACCAGGTGTGTTGTGTACTCACACATGAATGTGGTTAAGTTGGTGTTTGTACTCTCCAACACTGCAGGCAAGTATCAAGCTCTCCCACACTTCTGGCACCTGCTGCAGTTCGTGCTGCTCTGCGCCATCTGTGTGCTCTGGGCGCCCTCCCTCAACTCCACCAGGTGTGTTGTGTACTCACACATGAATGTGGTTAAGTTGGTGCTTGTACTCTCCAACTCTGTGGGCAAGTATCAAGCTCTCCCACACTTCTGGCACCTGCTGCAGTTCGTGCTGCTCTGCGCCATCTGTGTGCTCTGGGCGCCCTCCCTCAACTCCACCAGGTGTGTTGTGTACTCACACATGAATGTGGTTAAGTTGGTGCTTGTACTCTCCAACTCTGCGGGCAAGTATCAAGCTCTCCCACACTTCTGGCACCTGCTGCAGTTCGTGCTGCTCTGCGCCATCTGTGTGCTCTGGGCGCCCTCCGTCAACTCCACCAGGTGTGTTGTGTACTCACACATGAATGTGGTTAAGTTGGTGTTTGTACTCCCCGACACTGCGGGCAAGTATCAAGCTCTCCCACACTTCTGGCACCTGCTGCAGTATGTGCTGCTCTGGGCCATCTGCGTGCTCTGCGCGCCCTCACTCAACTCCACCAGGTGTGTACATAACGTTCATGCTCCCCTCCTCCAGGGGCACGCACTTCTCCTGCTCTTGCTTCTGAGCCTCATGTTCGCGCTTGCTCACACTGCTATTTTTGTTCTTCCACACTGCTGCATCAGTTACTGTGACAGTGGCTTGTTTCGCTTGATGATGTAACCTTGCAACTAATCCGACCTTTGTACCGCTGTTTGTCCAGATACGCATATTCGGAGGATGCTCCAGAGGATGATGATGACGTGGCGCTTACGTCAGCATCAGTGGCTTCAGCGAAAGCAGAGCCAGGGTCTGCAGCAGAGAAGAAGCCGATAAACACGGATGTGTTTTCGCTAGAAGATGAGGTTGAAGAGGGGAAACTGGAGTGAAGGTGGTCAATGATGCGTGATACTTAGCAACGGTGCTTGACAAATATAGCACGCAGGGTAGGATGGTTGATTTGATAGTTCCGAAGTGTCGAAATATAAGTATTTCGTTGTACGCTATTAGTACCGCCACAAATAAAGAAGGCTGTACGGAGTAAGTTTGCCTACATTGGTGTCCTTTCCAACATATTTCCGTGCTAACACTGTAGCAGGGATTACACCATACAGCGGATTTTCTGTGTGGAACATCGAGAAACTTGCACCTTCTTTTTCACTCTTGTGCTTGACGTCTTAGTACATGATTCTTGCTAGGAGCTTGATCTGACGGATTCCTGTCCTGTTCTCAGGTCGGGTTTCCGGTTTTCACACTTCCTGTCGTCAGACAGACAGGAGACGATTGTCGATCCGGTCGTTCCTCCTCGGTCCACCTTTATTTCGCTTCTTTGAAGGGTGTGACGATCTATGCCTTTTTAACGCGGGTTCTGACAGCCAACTTGGGAGTAGCACCTGGCAGGCATATAGTTCTGTACCGCATTTAACGGATCGACCATGTCAGTCCACCGTATCCTCCGCCGTTCCTCCCGCTACCCGCACCACTGCGCGTGGCTCGCGCGCCATCTCGGATCCGCCTCCGCCGCCCCCCACGTGTCCCAGCTTTCAACTCTTTCCGCCAATTCCGCCGTTTCCGCCGCTTCCGTATCCGCTTCTCCGCACAGACAATGCTCGTCCGTTCACGGGTTTCCGCGCACCTTCCAGCAGCAAGCTTGCAGCTTCCAGTTGAGTGGCTCGTTGAACCACATCCTCGCGCGTGGATTCCTACACTCCGTTCTGTATTCTGTGTTATTGCGTTCATCTACGAGCACTGGTGTGGTTTTCAGGGCAGTGGCGTGCATGGTAGCGCGGAGATGAATCATAACTCTGAGGACGTCTTGAGATGTCGCTATGAACTTGTTAGGTCCCTAATAAACCACTGTTATGCATGTTTTGTTGTTTTGGTTCGCTCCTTAAGCAGGTCTGTAGCAACCCTGACCACATCCGCGTTATTGTCATCAAGTGGCGATGGTGCCACCACTGCAGCCACTGCTGCCGATCCCGCTACAGCACCAGCAGACACTGATGATGAATCCTCTGCCGTATCAGGTAAATCTGGACCTTGTTCCTCTGATTCCTCCCCCATTCTAAATCATTTATCCACTCAACATCATCGTTCGGAAGTTGACTCAAAAGACGGCTTTCTCTCCTTACCCTTGCACAGAGCAGGTATTCAAGAGCCAAGGACTTGTCGCCACCCAAGATGACTTTTGACTCGGTTCAGAAGTTGCTTTGCGTCTCCCACCGTCTCTCCCTCTTACTCTCCTTGTTGTTTTCCTGATTGCAGAGCAGGTATCGGAGGACGATCTGACGCCAGCCAAGGTGGTGGAGCTCTTGGATCGCCACATTGTGGGGCAGGCTCAGGCCAAGCGAGCCGTTGCCATCGCCCTGCGCAACAGGTGCGGGTCCAGCTGCACTTGGCTTGAGTCAACGGTTTGCTTAACCTTGGTGTAAGCAAGCAGCAGTTTTCTAGCGACCCTGCTCTTTCTCGAATGATTTCTTTCTTCCTTTCGCTTGTTGTTCAGTTATGGAGTGCGTACATTCGTAGATTATAAACCGTGCGTTCCATTCCTCACCCCCACCTTTTCCCTCCACCTCCGACCACTGCCCTCCTCCCACATCTGCCCTCCCTCGCACCCACCCGCGCCCTCCCTCCCACCCCTGCCTTTCCTTCTCCCCCCGTCCTTGCGAGTCTGCGAGCAACAGGTGTCGCAGGAAGCGCATCAGTGGGTGCATGAGGGGCGATGTGGTGTGGTGCCCAAGAGCACAAGAGCATTTGCATGGTCGGTCCCACCAATGGCGGCAACACTCTCAAGACGTCTCAGAAACTAGTCTCTCCCCCCTCCCACCGACCCCTGCCCTGCCCCCTGCCCCTGCCCTGCCTCCCTCCCGTGCCTTCCCTCGCGCACCTGCCCTCCCTCCCCTTGCCTCACTCACCGCACTCGCGTTGGACAATAGGTGGCGGCGGAAGCGCAGCAGTGGGGCGATGAGGGATGAGGTGGTTCCAAAGAACATCCTCATGGTCGGCCCCACCGGCTGTGGGAAGAGCCCTGACACGTCTTCCCCACCGGCTGTGGGAAGAGCCCTGACACGTCTTCCCCACCGGCTGTGGGAAGAGCCCTGACACGTCTTCCCCACCGGCTGTGGGAAGAGCCCTGACACGTCTTCCCCACCGGCTGTGGGAAGAGCCCTGACACGTCTGCCCCCCCACCCCTGCCTTCCCCCCCACCCCTGCCTTCCCCCCCACCCCTATCCCCCTAAGGTGGCGGCGGAAGCGCATTAGTGGTTCCATGAGGGACGAGGTGGTTCCCAAGAACATCCTCATGGTCGGCCCCACCGGCTGTGGGAAAACCGAGATCGCCCGGCGCCTTGCCAAGCTCATCCATGCGCCCTTTGTCAAGGTGCGCTCGCTCGCCATGCCAAGTTTGAGCCGTCCTGACTAGACCACCAATGAGTCGGCTCAAAAGTTGCCCAGGTGGTTTTTGAGAATTCTAAAAAACCAGCTCACAAGTTGCCCAGGCTTGTTTATGCTCCCCTCGTCAAAGCGCTGACCAAGGCCATCGGCTGAAACGCGCGTACGTGCGAACGAGTTAGATCTGCTGGATCTGAGTCGAAACTATCTTCCTATACTGAGTCGGCTGACAAGTTGCCCCGGCTCGTTTGTACTCCCCTCGTCAAAATGTGCTCGCCTGGTTTGAGCCACCAAGTGTGTGTGGGTGTGTGGTGGGGTCTATGTGTGGGTGTGTCTCGGTGTGTTTGTAAGTGTGTGTGTGTGTGTGTGTGTGTATGCATGCATGCGTGCTTGCGTGCTTGTGTGTGTGTGTCTGACGACAGGTAGAAGCGACCAAGTTCACGGAGGTGGGCTTGTAGAGAGGGTTTTTTTGAGACGTCTCAAAAAAACATACATGCGTGCTTGCTTGCTTGCGTGCTTGCGTGTGTCTGATGGCAGGTAGAAGCCACCAAGTTCACGGAGGTGGGCTTTCACGGGCGGGACGTGGACCAGATCATTCGAGACCTGCTGGAGAACGCCATTCAGCTGCAGCGGCAGAAGGTGTGCGTTCTCTTCACCTTTCTGAGTTCGCATCAGAACCTTATTGGAGTTACTCGTTTAAGGGCAAGTCTGGGTCTGTGGTTCCATGCGTTTTTTTCAAACCTCTTTTTCCCTCGCTGTGCCCCTACCACTGTCCACTCCCCGAACCTCCGTGTCAGGCTCGGGCCAAGGCGGCGAAGGAGGTGGAGGAGGTGGTGGAGAGCAAGATTCTAGACCATCTGCTGGGCGCGCTACAGCCGGGCGCAGTGAGTCAAGCAGGTCACTGGGAGAGCTTGTAAGTCTGTTTCCCGGTATCCTGGTATCCCGGTATCCCGGTATCCCGGTTTCCCGGTATCCCGGTATCCCGGTTTCCCGATTTCCCGGTTTCCCGGTTTCCCGGTTTCCCGGTATCCTCGTATCCCGGTATCCCGGTATCCCGGTCTCCCGGTTTCCCGGTATCCCGGTTTCCCGGTATCCCGGTATCCCGGTATCCCGTTTTCCCGGTATCCCGGTTTCCCGGTATCCCGGTTTCCCGGTATCCCGGTATCTCGGTTTCCCGATTTCCCGGTTTCCCGGTTTCCCGGTATCCTCGTATCCCGGTATCCCCGTATCCCGGTATCCCGGTTTCCCGGTATCCCGGTATCCCGGTATCCCGGTTTCCCGGTATCCCGGTTTCCCGGTATCCCGGTATCCCGGTATCCCGGTATCCCGGTATCCCGATATCCCGGTTTCCCGGTATCCCGGTTTCCCGGTATCCCGGTATCCTGGTTTCTTGATTTCCCGGTTTCCCGGTTTCCCGGTTTCCTGGTTTCCCGGTTTCCCGGTATCCTCGTATCCCGGTATCCTCGTATCCCGGTATCCCCGTATCCCGGTATCCCGGTATCCCGGTCTCCCGGTTTCCCGGTATCCCGGTTTCCCGGTTTCCCGGTATCCCGGTATCCCGGTTTCCCGGTATCCCAGTTTCCCAGTATCCCGGTATCCCGGTTTCTTGATTTCCCGGTTTCCCGGTTTCCCGGTTTCCTGGTTTCCCGGTTTCCCGGTATCCTCGTATCCCAGTATCCCGGTATACCGGTATCCCGGTTTCCCGGTTTCCCGGTATCCCGGTTTCCCGGTATCCCGGTATCCCGGTTTTCCGGTTTCCCGGTATCTCTTGGGTGCGGGCGACTGGGGAGGGAGAGTGAAATGGGGGAAGGGAGGGAACATGGAATAATCCGGTCAGACCAAGCGAAGGAAATGGAGCCCCAGATAGGAGCCATGTCTTTACGTGGCTGCGACTGATTCAACTTGTAAAAAAGTTTGTTAGTTAAAATGTTTGCTTGAAAATCTCTTGTAGAGAAATTTGGCGGTTCAGAATCAAGCGAAGGAACGATCAAGTGAGGGTTCAGAATCAAGCGAAGGAACCATCAAGTGAGGGTTCAGAATCAAGCGAAGGAACGATCAAGTGAGGGTTCAGAATCAAGCGAAGGAACGATCAAGTGAGGGTTCAGAATCAAGCGAAGGAACGATCAAGTGAGGGTTCAGAATCAAGCGAAGGAACGATCAAGTGAGGGTTCAGAATCAAGCGAAGGAACGATCAAGTGAGGGTTCAGAATCAAGCGAAGGAACAATCAAGTGAGGGTTCAGAATCAAGCGAAGGAACGATCAAGTGAGGGTTCAGAATCAAGCGAAGGAACGATCAAGTGAGGGTTCAGAATCAAGCGAAGGAACGATCAAGTGAGGGTTCAGAATCAAGCGAAGGAACGATCAAGTGAGGGTTCAGAATCAAGCGAAGGAACGATCAAGTGAGGGTTCAGAATCAAGCGAAGGAACGATCAAGTGAGGGTTCAGAATCAAGCGAAGGAACGATCAAGTGAGGGTTCAGAATCAAGCGAAGGAACGATCAAGTGAGGGTTCAGAATCAAGCGAAGGAACGATCAAGTGAGGGTTCAGAATCAAGCGAAGGAACGATCAAGTGAGGGTTCAGAATCAAGCGAAGGAACGATCAAGTGAGGGTTCAGAATCAAGCGAAGGAACGATCAAGTGAGGGTTCAGAATCAAGCGAAGGAACGATCAAGTGAGGGTTCAGAATCAAGCGAAGGAACGATCAAGTGAGGGTTCAGAATCAAGCGAAGGAACGATCAAGTGAGGGTTCAGAATCAAGCGACGGAACGATCAAGTGAGGGTTCAGAATCTGCTTTTGAGTCGACTTTGTTTGAGTCCCCGCCACCTCCTCTCGTTGGCACTGCATTGACTGCATTGACTGCAGAATCTGAGTCCCCGCCACCTCCTCTCGTTGGCACTGCATTGACTGCATTGACTGCAGAATCTGAGTCCCCGCCACCTCTCGCTGGCACTGCATTGACTGCATTGACTGCATTGACTGCAGAATCTGAGTCCCCGCCACCTCCTCTCGTTGGCACTGCATTGACTGCATTGACTGCATTGACTGCAGAATCTGAGTCCCCGCCACCTCCTCTCGTTGGCACTGCATTGACTGCATTGACTGCATTGACTGCAGAATCTTAGTCCCCGCCACCTCCTCTCGTTGGCACTGCATTGACTGCATTGACTGCAGAATCTGAGTCCCCGCCACCTCCTCTCGTTGGCACTGCATTGACTGCATTGACTGCAGAATCTGAGTCCCCGCCACCTCCTCTCGTTGGCACTGCATTGACTGCATTGACTGCAGAATCTGAGTCCCCGCCACCTCCTCTCGTTGGCACTGCATTGACTGCATTGACTGCAGAATCTGAGTCCCCGCCACCTCCTCTCGTTGGCACTGCATTGACTGCATTGACTGCATTGACTGCAGAATCTTAGTCCCCGCCACCTCCTCTCGTCGGCACTGCATTGACTGCATTGACTGCAGAATCTGAGTCCCCGCCACCTCCTCTCGTTGGCACTGCATTGACTGCATTGACTGCAGAATCTTAGTCCCCGCCACCTCCTCTCGTTGGCACTGCATTGACTGCATTGACTGCAGAATCTGAGTCCCCGCCACCTCCTCTCGTTGGCACTGCATTGACTGCATTGACTGCAGAATTTTAGTCCCCGCCACCTCCTCTCGTTGGCACTGCATTGACTGCATTGACTGCAGAATCTGAGTCCCCGCCACCTCCTCTCGTTGGCACTGCATTGACTGCATTGACTGCAGAATCTTAGTCCCCGCCACCTCCTCTCGTTGGCACTGCATTGACTGCAGAATCTGAGTCCCCGCCACCTCCTCTCGTTGGCACTGCATTGACTGCATTGACTGCATTGACTGCAGAATCTGAGTCCCCGCCACCTCCTCTCGTTGGCACTGCATTGACTGCAGAATCTGAGTCCCCGCCACCTCCTCTCGTTGGCACTGCATTGACTGCATTGACTGCAGAATCTTAGTCCCCGCCACCTCCTCTCGTTGGCACTGCATTGACTGCATTGACTGACGAGCTAACCAGTTGACTGACCATATGACTAGTTGACTTCATGAATTTGACAAGACAAGTTACCCCGTTTGACCGTGTTGACCTGCTTGACTCACTGCTGCTGATTCCTTATTCCTCACCCTTCCGCACCCGCCCCACAATTCTCTCCCTTCTGCCTGCTGGACAGGGAGGGAGTGTTGGACGACAGGCGAGTGCACATGGAGCTGCCTGACGTTGCTCCTCCTAGTCATGCTGCTGTTGTTTCTTCTGCTGCTTCTTTGGCTGCTGATGACGCAGCTGCTGATGCCCATCCCCTCCCCCTTCCTCCCCGCCCGCTTCCCCCCCAGACACCCCCTTCCAGGGAGACCTTTCGTCTGCTGTACAGGGAGGGGGTGTTGGACGACAGGCGAGTGCACATGGAGCTGCCTGACGCCGCTCCCTCGGGTGGTCTGGGCGGGTTCGCCATCGACATGTCGGGCGCTGCAGGGCTCAACGTGCACGACTTTGTGCAGAGGGTGAGTAGGGCGGGTGGGTGCAGGTGGGTGCAGGTGGGTGCAGGTGGGTGCAGGTGGGTGCAGGTGTTGCTCCTTGGTGACCTGCGGCGGGGTGCCTGACATGGCGGATTCGCCATCGACATGCCAGGAGCAGCAGGGCTCAACGTGCATGACTTCGTGCAGAGGGTGGGTGCACGAGTGCAGAGGGTTGGTGCACGAGTGCAGAGGGTGGGAAAAGAAGGACCTGTGGGTACACTCCAACTCCCTCCTTTCCGTCTAGAGCCAATTCTAAAGTCGCCCTCCGTTCCCCTCCCCCCTTTTTTTTCTCGTGGGATCAGATGGAGCGAGTGGTGAAGGGGGCACGGAGGGAGAAGAAGGATTTGACAGTGGCGGAGGCGAGGGCAGCGCTGACCGACGCAGAGATGGAGAAACGCCTGTCGTCTGAATCGCTCGTGAAGGACGCCATTCAGGTGCGAGGGGCTCATGGGAGTTGGCGTGGCGATTGCCAAGGGTGCTTGCATTGGTGTAGGTTTGCACGAAGGGGAATGAGTGACGCAGTTGACAGTAGATGGGGCGAGGGCAGCACTGACCTACGCAGAGATGGAGAGCGCATGTTGTCTGAATCGCTCATGAAGGATGCCATTCAGGTGCGAGGCGGGATGAGGAAGTGACGATGCGTGTTTGGTATTGTGCATGGAGAAGGGCGGAGGAGCTGCGTTTAGGTGAGAGGAAGTGGCTGTGGTGAGGGGGGAGGGGTGTGGCGAGGGGTGGAGCAGTGGCAAAGGGTGTTGGCAGTGGAGAAGTGCTTAGTATTTTTGAGAAGTCTCAAAAGCAACCTGCAAAGAGATGAGATTTACAAGAATACTTGTTCCTCCCCCTCTTCCCGTGTCACCCTCCGTCTCTGTTCCCAACCACTGCCACAGGCAACGGAGTCAGAGGGCATAGTGTTCATCGATGAGATTGACTCCAGCGACACACAACGCAATGATTCTCCTGCCCCTGTGCTGTGCTCCATGCCCCGTGCATGCCCCCCATTCTCCAGGCAACGGAGTCAGAGGGCATAGTGTTCATAGACGAGATAGACAAGATCGTGCACTCCAGCGACACGCGGCATGGTGCCGATGCGAGTGCTGAGGGTGTTCAGCGCGACCTGTTGCCCATCATTGAGGGCAGGTAGGGTGTTATGTGTGGTACGGTACGTTAGGGTACGGTACGATACGGTATGGTACGGTATGGTACGGTACGGTATGGTACGATAGGGTACGGTACGATAGGGTACGGTATGGTATGGTAGAGCATGCTGTCCATTATTTAAGGCAGGTTGTTTCCCAACATGGTACAGTGTGCATTGTATGGCCATGTATGGCTATGCATGGCTATGGATGGCCATGTATGGCTATGTATGGCTATGGCATGCTTCGTATGGCATGGTTTTGCATGAACGGAGAATGGAGGTGCGACCTGCTTCTCTACAGCTGAACCCATCCTGGCCCATGCTTCCCACATCCCTCCTCTTTCTGCCCATGCTCCCCTCCCTCATCAGTGTGGTATCCACCAAGCACGGCAACGTCAACACGGATCACATTCTCTTCATCGCTAGTGGTGCCTTCACTGCGTGCCGCCCCTCCGACATGCTGGCAGAGCTGCAAGGCCGCCTGCCCATAAGGGTGGAGCTCAAAGGGCTGACCAGAGAGGTGAGGAGCAATATGGAACTAATATTAAGGAGATAGGGTGAAGGTGCTTTCACCGAGTGCCGCCCCTCCGACATGCAGAGCTGCAGGGGCGCCTGCCTAAAAGGGTGGAGCTCAAGGGGCTAACCAGAGAGGTGAGAGTTGACGGGCTCTAAAGGGATGTAGGGTGAAGTGCAGGTGGCTCCTCCGCCTGCCGCCCCTCCGACATGCATTGAGGTCGTTTTTGGCGCCTCAAAACCCACCGCCTGCCGCCCCTCCGACATGCATTGAGGTCGTTTTTGAGGCGCCTCAAAAACCACCGCCTGCCACCCCTCCGACATGCTGGCAGAGCAGCAAGTGCGACGTTTTTTTCTCAGAGAAACGATCGTGAAATGACTCTTCCTCTCCCCTCCTCTCTTTCTCTTTCCCCCTCACCGCAGGATCTGTACCGCATTCTCACAGAGCCCGAGGCGAACATGATTCGGCAGCAGCAGCTGCTGATGGCCACGGAGGGGGTTGAGCTTGTATTCACCGAGTCTGCCATCCGGGAGGCTGCCGCCATGGCTGCTGAGGTGCGTTGAGGTCAGGTTAGGCATGCGCTGCTGAGGTGTGGTTGCGGTGCTGAGGTGTAGTTGCGCTGCTGCATGCATTGTGGTCTGTGAGGTGCGTTGGTACGCCTGCCTCCCCAAGCCTGCTCACAGCCTTGTGGTGTGCTTCCTATCATCTCGAAAACAGTCTCTTGGTGCTCCCAGGATATTGCAACGATGCTTTGCGAAAGAGTTTTCTCCCATGTGTGCGTGTGTGCTTGCATGCATGTGTGGATGGATGGATGGCAGATCAATCACACGCTGGACAACATTGGTGCAAGAAGGTTGCACACGGTGAGTATGACTGTTGAGACTGGGTGACACTGGGTGAGAGGATAGCTGTTGAGATGCCTTGTTGCGAGTTTGCATGTGGTGTGTAAGACTCAAGTGAGACTTCCGCCTTGCATCCCCTTGCATACCCTTGCATTTTCCCGTGCACCTTACTCCCTTGCACCGATGGCACCATGGCAACCATGGAAGGTGTTGGAGCGCGTGGGGGAGGACATCAGCTTCCGGTCGACCACCCGAGCTCTCTCCTATGGTTACTTCCCCTCATGCTCCGTCCCATCCCATCCTTTCACCTCCTCCCCCCCATGCACCATGGCACCATGGCAGGTCTTGGAGCGCGTGGTGGAGATCATCAGCTTCCAGTCGACCATCCGTCCTATGCTTACGTCCCCTCACATCCCGCATGCTCTCTCCCATCCTCTCATCACCTTGCATGCATCCCCTCCCATGGCACCACGCCAGGTGTTGGAGCGCGTGGGGGGGGACATCAGCTTCCATGCGCTCGAGAGAGCTAGCAGCATCTCAAACCCCCATGCTCACCTTCCCCCATCGCCTTGCAACCCCTTGCATGCCCTTGCACCCCCTTGCATGCCCTTGCACCCCCTTGCATGCCCTTGCACCCCCTTGCATGCCCTTGCATGCCCTTGCATCTCCTCACGCGCTTCCCCTCCCATTGGCACCATGGCAGGTGTTGGAGCGGGTGGTGGAGGACATCAGCTTCCACGCGCCCGAGAGGAAGGGGGAGACATGCGTGGTGGATCAAGAGGTGCGCCTTGCTAGAACATGCCATTCTCTCTGAAGCTTTCTGGTATCATGGCATGTGTGCAATATTGGTCCTGGATATTTGTCGGTGGAGGACACACCGTAAGAGGTCCCTCCTGGTTTTTGTTTGACACTGTGTTTTTGCATCCACTTCCTTTGGCCCCACGCTTTTCCCTTGCCACCCCCCCCCACTTGCCTCTCTCAGGATGTTCGACGGCCGCTGGGTGACTTGCTGCAGAAGGTTGATGTCTCTAAGTTCATCCTGTAGCACCTACCGTGTCACATTAAAACCATATACAGTTGTTTGCATCAACACATGTAGTACGATACTTCGTCTTAACATGTGATGTCATTTTATCACAACCCATGCAAGCCGCTGAAACTTACCATAACAGGTCATCCAATTCCTACCGTATCTCATTTACCGGAGTGCCTGACAGTCTGAATTAGGACAGGAGGCAATGCAAGTTGTCAAAATACATGGGAAATTGGTCACAAACGTATCTCTGGCTTAGGGCGTATTCCTATCCTCCTATCAAGAAAACCTCCTATCAAGCTCTCACTGGAAAATTCCCTAAACCCAAAATCTCTCGCTACTTTTACCAGGCAAAAGGTACAATCTTGATAGGAGGTTTCTTGATAGGAGGCCGTAGGAATACGCCCTTAGAACGGCCCTATTTTCAGAAAAAGAGGAACACTCTTAACATGTCGATTTGCCCACTTTTTCTTCCTTTCCTTGCTGGACCATACGCACTTGATTGAACATAGCTTAGTGGCACATACAAGTTAGTTTTACATTCATAGAACAGATGCCATTTATTACCAGCTTGATTCAAAAAGAAACAAGCATAAAGCCCAGACAGCAGCAAGCAGGCCCAAGGCCCCGCAGACCAGTCAGCCTGGTTAGCAAGTAGTAGAAGGTTGAATTGAATGTAAGGAAGGCTAGTTAGTAGTAACGACCACTGCGCACATCACCACACAACTTCTGCCGCCATCGCCTCCGATGCTGCTGCAGCAACTGTGGCCGTCCTTTACGGTACCTATCACCCCACCCACCCATCATCCCTTCCCTCGTCACCCTTAACCACCCGTCCACACACGCCCCACCCCCCATCCCCCAACCCCCCTCTCCACTGTTCCATTAGATTTATTTTCTGCAATTTCCTCCCCTCTTCCTCATTTGCGCTTGGCCTGCTTGGGCCCTTTGTGCTGCGCGGCTGCGACAGCGGGGTTGCCATGCCAGTTGCGCTTGCGCTGGTTGATGAACCAGTTGTTCACCTGCTTCAGCTCCAACCCCGTCTGTGCCATCAGGCCCACCTTCTCCTCCTCCTGCATGGGTACACATGGGTACACATGGGTACACATGGGTACACATGGGCAGATGGACATGGAAGGAGCAGCACACTCACAATCACAAGCAAGCAGATGCAGTGTGGTTGCTGACGTGGCAAGCAAGGAGGGGGCTGCACTATAGGGTAGGGCCACGTGGCAAGCAAGCAAGCAGGGAAGGGGACGCACCGTGGGGTAGGGCCACTGGATATGCTCGTTCCACCACGCCTTGAGCACCTGCGTGGTGTTTTCTGGAAGCTTCCCCGCGCGCCTCTTGCGCATGATCTCCTCCCTCACTCCCAGCAGACGAGTGCGGAACCCCTGAGGACAGTACAGGGAGTTGCAAGGCGTTGAAAGGAGGAGAAAAGGAGTTGAAAGGAGTTTCACAGAGTTGTAAGGAGTTACAAGGAGTTGAAAGGATTTACAAGGAGTTGAAAGGAGTCGCAAGGAGTTGAAAGGAGTTGGAAGGAGTTGCAAGGATTTGAAAGGAGTTGCAAGGAGTTGAAGTGCATTGCAAGAGGTTGCAATGAGTTGTGAGGCAATGGAAGCATGAAATACATAGGGCACCATACCTCTCTACCGTATTCCTTGAGTAGTGCCTCTTCCACCGCACTCCTGTCCTGTGCTCCCCCCATGCCCATGCCCATGCTCATGCCCATGCTCCCTGTCATGTCCATGCCCATGCCCGTGTCCATCCCCATGCCCATACTGCTATGTGTCCCCATGCTGCCATGCCCCCCCATGCCCTGCTGCATTGCCCCGAATGCCATGGGTGCACCCATGCATGCACTCCCACCCATGCCCGTGGTAGGGTGTGGTGCAGGGGGGAGCGGGAGGAGGGTGAGGGGCTGATGGGGTGCGTGCATGGATGGACTCTGCTGCTGCTGCTGTTGCTGCTGCTGATGGTGGTGGTGGTGGTGGTGGTGGGGGGGATGATTCTGGTGCTGCGAGTAACCCTGGTGCTGATAGTGAAACGAGCCTGACATGCTGCCGCACCCCCCACCGCTGCTGCCTCCACCACCGTCGCCACCGCCACCACTGCCACTCCCACCAGCAGCAACAGGCATGAAGGAGTTGAGACGGTGACCATGGTACCCACTCCCTTGGCTATTGTAACCGCTGCCATGACTATTATCATACGCATGCACATGCCCATTCCCATGGCTGTTGCATGCATCCTCCAGGGCTCTAATGCCCCCATTGCTGCTGGGCCTATCCCCTTCCCCGCCTTCATCATCGGACATGGTAGCCCCAGACGCAGCAAGCTTATCAGCAGCAGTGCCCCCAGCAGCAGCAACGGCGTGCTTGAGGCGGGCGCATGTGGTAACGGCCTCCCTGGCGTGCACTCGGATGTGCTCCTCCAGTTGCTCCTTGAACGCCCGCAGCAGCTTCACAAATTGACCCTGGATTGGTTTCGAGTGAAGTGGGGCAGGGCAAAAGTGGCGGGAGGGATGAGGAAATGGAATGTGGATTGTGTGCAGAGCCCACAGAAAAAGAAGAATCGAAACGTGAGGAGCTGTGGTGAAGCTGTGGATCTCTCTCGTGTACTGACAATGCTTATGAGAATTCTCAGAGTGGCACCTGAATGTGCTCCTCACGTGCTCAGAAGCTGCTCGTCACTGCAGCCCAGTTGTTTCAAGAGACCTCCTCTCACGTTGCAATCAGCACAAGCACACGTGTCAGATTTAACTGTGTCGTGTCAAACTCACACACGTGTCATGTCTGACTCACCATGAAGTTGTCCAGCTCAGCTTCTTCCGTATCGGACGCCAACCCCTGACCGCCACATGGCACGTTCCCATTGGCAGCATACTTCTGACCAGCCACACTTGCTGCTGCTCCTCCTCCTGCTGCTGCTACTGCTGCTCCTGCTGCTGCTGCTGCTGCTGCTGCTGCGGCGGCAGTATGAGTGGAAGATGGAGAACCGGCAGCAGCAGGAGCAGCAGGAGCAGGAGCAGGAGCACCTGATTGTGCAGGCCCGACGCCATTAGCAGAGGCGTCAGCAGTACCGTTGGTGTTAACACCAGCAGCAGCGGTGGCGGTGGCGGTGGCGGTGGCGGTGGCGGTGGTGGTGGGGGCGGATGTGTGGAGCAAGCGAGTGTAGGTGGAAGCAACAAGGTCTGCTCGCTCCATCTGCACTTGAATCAGCGGCAGCTGGTCCAGTGGCGTCGCCACCTGATGGGGGGGAGAGGTAGTAGGGAAACAAGTAAGAGAGTGGTTGCGGGCCGAGGAAGAGACGAGGAAGAAATGTGTTTTGAGGCGTCTCAAAACCTGCATCTGCAACTGAGTCAGTGGCAGCTGGTCCAGTGGCATGGCTACCTGATAAGGGGGAAGCACACGAATATTCGGGGGAGAAATTCATGAGGCAAGCATGCGGGACAGCTGGGAAGCAGAAGAGGAGACAAAGCAGAAACGAACATAGCTGAAGCGTGCGACAAAAACCTGAGGAGGTAGTTGTTGTGAACCATGGAGAACATGCAAACGAGGTGTACCTCAAGGCATGCTACATGTGCGTTGAGCATCTGCTTATAAAGAGGATGAGATGCAATGAGCCCCTTCCACCTGGCCTTGTTCCTCTCCCTCTCCTCGTGGACCCTCTGCTGATCCACTCTCTCTCGTACCACCTGCTGCTGTTGCTGCTGCTGCTGCGGCTGCTCTGCACTTGCTGCAACAGCAGTACCAGCACCAGCGCCAGCAACAGCAATAACAGCAGCACCACCAGCAGGAACAAGAGAAGTAGCAGCAGCCGCAGACAGGGGAGAAGGAGCGGCGTCACTTGTTCGATTTGCAGCAGGCTTTTCCCAGTGTGGAAACAGATGCTTCTGCTGCTGCTGCTGCTGCTGCTGCTGCTGCTGCTGCTGCTGGTTTTGAGACGTCTCAGGAGCTGCTTCAGTGGATGTCGCTGCTGGTGGTGGTACTGCTGGTGCTGCTTGTGATTCTGTTGCTGCCGTTGCTGCTGGTGCTGCAGCTGATCCTGATGCTGCTGCTGCTGCTGGTGTTGGCGTTGTCAGGGTGGCCGTATCTGGTGACTTCACACATGCTGCACGTGCTGCGGCTGCTGCCATTAACGCTCCTTCCTCCTTCCTGTTTGTCAACTCATCTTGCACCCCTGCTCCACCACACGTCATCATGTCTCCTCCTCGCACATTTCTCACATCACCATTGCCCACATCGCCCATATCGCCACCTATACTGCCACCCTTCTGATCACCACCATCAGTACCACCGTTGCAACCATCACCCCCTTCACACTCCATTTCCCTCTCCTCTCCCTCCACCCTACCCTTCTCTTCTCTCCTCCTCACCTCCTCTCCTACAATCCTCACTTGCTCCTCCCCCATCCTCTCCTCTTCTCCTCCATTAGTCATCTTTCCCCCTTCCAGCCTCAACGCCCCATGCGCAGCCTCCCCACCTTCTCCCAAGCCTGTTGCCGGAGGTGGCAAGCTCAGGCTCGGCATGTGGTCCAGGTTCGGCACAGGCTGGTTCGGCATGGAGAGGCTCGGGGAGAGGTCGAGGGGCAGGACGCAGGGAGAGGAGTTACTGTGTAGCATAGAGGCATCGAGCTCAGGTAAGGAGAAGAAATGGGCGAGCTCGTGGTTTATAAGGGTGGTGGGAGGTGAGGAGTGGTGGAGATGGGTGAGAGGGGAAGAGCGGTGGAGAGGGGAAGGAGGAAGGAGAGGAGAACGGTGGAGGGGGGAAGGAGGAGAGAGAGGGGAGGAGTGGAGAAGATTGGAGGGGCGGTTGAGGGTCGAAGAGCGGTGGAGTGGGGAGAAACGTTGCAATGGGGAAGGTGGGGAGAGGGGTGATCGGGCGGACGGTTGGGGGGATTTAAGGAAAGGAATGGCATATGACTGCTGCTGGTGGTGGTGTTGCCTCTGTCCCACGACGTGGTGATTCAATTGATTCGTGTGACTGAAAGGAGCACTGGGATTGAATGGATCGGCCTGACGCCAAGCAGGAGAAGAGGAGGGTTTAGGGTTTAGGCCTGCTTTGTCTTCTTGTGCCGGCCTGGTGGTGAGGAAAGCTCTGGAGAGGGCAATGGGGATGGAGAGAGGGCTGGGCGGCGGAGGGGCAGGGCGAGGGGGGAGGGCGGGCAGGGCTGTGGACGTTGCTGCAGAGGGCGTGTGGGGAGGAGGAGGAAGAGAGTGGGGAGCAGCAGGAGCGGAGGAAGAGGCAGCAGTTGGCGTGAGAGGCGGATGGGCAGCAGTCATGGATACTAGCGCTGGGCCAGTGGTATTAGAACCAATAGCTGCAGCAGCAGCACCAGCAGCACCAGCAGCACCAGCAGCACCAGCAGCACCAGCAGCAGCACCAGCAGCAGCACCACCGGCAGTCGTACCGAGAGGGGCGTGATTGAAGGGTCGCTTCATAGGCAGCTTGTGCTGGCGGGTCAGAGAGTGGGCGGAGGAGCGGGGGAGGGAACGAGGGGAGAAGTTTGGGGAGGAGGCTGTCTTGTGTGCCAGGAGTGGTTGTAGCTGACGTTGCAGCTCCTCACAGCTCACCACCCGCATGCTTGCTGCTGCTGGTACAATTGCTGCCACTGGTGGTGCCATTGGTGCTGTTGGTGCTGGTGCTGATGGTGCTGCTGCAGCTGTTACTGTTGTTGCTGCTGGCGCCACCACTGCGTCTCCTGCATGTGCTGTTGCTGCCTGTGCATCCGCATTCACCTTGTCATACATCTCTCCCCCGGCTTCCCCTGCTTTCCCTTCTTTCCCTGCTTCTCCTGCACCTCCTTTGCCCATGCACTCGCCCTCCCCATGCGCTGGGGATTCGCTGTTCCGGTAACTGATACTGTTACGGCGCGATAACTCTTCACCATCCATCGCCACCTTGTTCGTCGAGCAACGACTCAGCAAGCCGGCCAGCATCAATGGTTCCCTCCCTTGCTGACTCGGCATGCCATCACTGCTGCTGCTAGACGTCTGGGTTCCGCCCTTCACCTCCCTCTCTAGTTCCGGTGTGCTCGCCACTTCCTCCATGCCCCTGAATCCCCTATCATCTCCCACCTCCTCAACTTGCATCGCCTCGGCGCCGTCCCCCTTATAAGCTTCCTCTGTACCGCCACTGCCGCTGGTTGCATGCTTGGCAGCAGGCTCTGGTGCCGAGTCTTCCTCCATTGGTATCGTCGCCTCGTGTTGAACTTCCTCCTCATTCTTCTCATTCCCACTCTTCTCATTCTTCTCATTCCCACTCTTCTCATTCTTCTCATTCCCACTCTTCTCATTCTTCTCATTCCCACTCTTCTCATTCTTCTCATTCCCACTCTTCTCATTCTTCTCATTCCCACTCTTCTCATTCTTCTCATTCCCACTCTTCTCATTCTTCTCACCCTTCTCACTCTTTACAAGCTCAGTCTTGTGACTCTTGTCATTCTCACTCCCATTTCTCTCACCACCGCCGCCACCCTTATCAGTCTCGCCATTCTTCTGACCCTTCTCGTTCTTATCACTCTTCTCCTTCTCATTCTCAGACCCAAGCCCACGACCACCCTCCCAGCTGCAGCAGCTCTCCCAATAACCATCACCATGGCTTCCCTTCTCCCCTCCCAGTTCATCACAATCCGGTTTCATCTCTTTTGAAAGGCCAAAGCAGCCATTCCCAGCGAGCATCAAGCTTCCTAGCTTCCGTGTCGCAGCACCAGGCGCCATGACTGTAACACTGCCACTGCCGCTCACTCCGCCGTTCATGGCATCACCAGACTCACACACGCACTGTACAGCACGCTCTGTGTGACAGAGCTATCTTATTCCAGACCAGAGCCTCCCTCTCAGCACTCAACCCCCCTTCTCCCTTCCTGCAACCGTCCCTATCCCAAGCTTGTAACCTGATGAAGGGGGCCTGAAGAGGTTCGAGCAAGGTCGCTCGCAAGTCACTTTCACTTTTGAGATTTCCCAAGAGCAACAAGCAAGCTTAGAGGCGGGTCTCCAAGAGGCCGCGTGTAGGAACCGCGCTGACAGCGCCAAGGTCGGTCTATCTACAGCAAAGAGTCCAGTCTAACCTATCTCCGTCAGTCAGCTGCTTAGAAGGTCAGTCTGCTTGGATTAGACGTTGCGTTCTGAGTCTTGAGGCGACGAAAAAATCGTCAGTAGGCGCAGGAGGAATCATTGAATTAGAGGTCGCTTGCTGAAAACACGACGGTTTGACAAACGGCGAGCTCGGTTTAGCTGAAAACACACGAACTAGCGCTGAGCCTCCCGAGCAGCCGATATTCCAAGACAGGGTAGGGTAACGAATCGTGAGACAGGGGAGGGTCACGAATGACAGCCTGAAGTCTGGCGTCCGGACGCTCGGGGCGAATCGCGGTATTGAAAGCGATGGATTGAGACGGAGCAAGACAGTGCCATTTAAGCTAGCTCCCCCGACCGCAATAGCTGGAAAAATCCCCCTGGAGAAGGTGCCTCTTCCACCCTGAATTTTCTCCCCCCCCCCCCCCCCCCCTTCCCCACCCACCCCAACTCCCCTCCCCTCCGGGAGATGCCGCTTCCCCCGCCCTTCTTGCCTCCCCGAGCAGTCACATTTCGGGGCAAGAAACGTGTGGCGGACGTAAGGAACCACCCAAACGCCGTCGGGAGGAATTTCTTCCTCATGAAGGCGCAATCCCGCTTGCGATAGAATCGAAATAGAGTCACTTCCCCCCCCCCCCCGAATGGTATTACTCCTCTCTCCGCGTTGCGCTGGACGGTCCACGTCAAGATCGGTGGCACGCGAGCCGGCGCTGCGCTGGCGCTCCGTACGCTGACCTCGCGATGGTTCCGCGGAGCGGATTCGCGGAAAGAGTCCAGCGCATCGCTGGCTGCGCGAGAATGAGGTTGCGCACGCGTGACGCGACCGACACGGTGGGCTGGGAGGATCAGCGGGAGCACCCGGAGTCTAGCACCCCGCATCAGCATTCTACGCAGGACGTGGGATGCAACACCTGGCTCATTGCTAAGTGGCAGACCTGAAACCTTTGAGTCAGCGTAACACCTCCCCTCCGCTGCCGAGTCAGCGTGGCTTTTCCAGCGATCAATACTGCAGAGTCAGCTGCGGTATACTACAGCCCAGCGACGAGTGCCTTCCTGATGTGACGTGGCACGAGGAGACTTGTCTCAGCAGGTGTGCGGTAAGTTGCTGAGTAGCTTCCGCGACACGATTTCTAGCCAATCAAGGCGAAACGCGTCGCGCATTTTCCGCAGATGCGCTTGCGTGTTCCGGGATCTTCCATCCGGCCAGATTCTCCAGAAATGGCTTGTCCCGCCAGACGCGGTGCGCGAAAAAGAAAGCAGTGCGGTGATTGGCTGAAGCTTCGGTTCCTAAACGGTGAGGTTTAGGAGGTGACGTTCGCGGAGCTCCCGAGGCCGACTTGGAGAATACCGAAGTCATAACGCCCTGCCGAACGGCTCAGATTGAAGTCCTGTCACGAGCAGTCACAACAACAATTTGCAGCGGAAATGCCGCGATCCGTATGCACCCTGCTTTCTTAAACCCGTTTTTGCTGGATGAATTAGAATGGCTGCCTTAGAAGCTGTCAACAGACGAGCCGCGAGGGACCAGAGATGCTCCTATGACTCACGACATTCTCGAGGTCTGAAGAAAACTGCGCCTCCCTAACATCCTCCTGTCATTCCCAGGGTGAGTCTGTGACAGGACACTCGCTGTGCCAGTTCACTCCCGTCACCTGTGACCCCCTCCCAAAACTCCCCCTCTCTTCCTTCCGCCCCTCTCTGTTCTTCCGCCCCTCGCTTGCCCTCCCTTCCCCTTTTCCCCCCTACCCAACTGAACTCCTGAGGGGATTGAATTTCCCTAGAGGCGCAATAGACATTGACGCGCCACCTGGGGGAGAATGGGGGAAGATGGGGGGAACCAGGGAATGCCGCTGGTGTGCGGCGGATGTGTGAATGAAGATTGTTCGTGCGGTACTGTACATGTACATGTGTGAGTGTGGTTTTGCGGACGACCCCTCTTCCGCAATGAACATGTTGCGGACCCAGTTCGAATATTGATACTGCAGTGTGTTACGAGTGCAATTGAGTGAACGAACGAGAATTGCACTATCGAAGCAAGAGTACAATGAGCGAAGGTATGAGCGAAGAATATATAGCGAAACTACAGTGGTAACGGTAATGGTCGCGCGACGAGCCTGGGACTGAGGTTGGGAACGTGTCGAAGCGTAGGCCCGGAGCGCGGGTTACCAGCCGAGCCGTGAGGTCGGGATGCGATGTGCGAAAATGGCGGGATGATGAATGATGCGATGGTCGCGAGTGGTAACGGTGCTGACTGAGGTGCTACAGTGATGTACGCGTTGAGCAGAGATGCGAAGTAAGGAAAAGGGAATTTCCTTACACTACCCCCCCCTCTTAAAAGGTCCTCCTTACGAAAGCGCGTGGACGTCTTTGAAGTTTCGGCTGCATAGATAGTCGGTGACGACAGGGTGGTTTTCAATTCTGTCCAGGGGAACCCAGTTGTCCTCGGTGGGTGTACGATCTTTCCAGCGAATCAGAAACTCAACTTTTCGAGCCCCTCGAGGGTCGCGAACTCTGTGGCTCAAGATTTTGTCGGGGGTGATGACTGGTTCGGTTGGTGGTCGTGACATGCTGGATGGTCGATGTCGTGGGAGTTGGCTGGTGGATGGTACGTAAGGGCGAAGCAGGCTGACGTGGAACGAGGGGCTGACGTACCAGTCAGCAGGAAGGAGGAGGTGTGCGGTGACAGGTGTGATCATGTGACTGATTCGAAATGGCCCACCGTATCGAGGGCGGAGTTTGGGAGTGATGGGCAGGCGGAGGTTCTAAGTGTCGAGTAAAACGAGGTCGTCGGACTGATAAGTGACGGGTCTGCGGTGGCGATCGGCGTTGCGTTTAGCGATGATATTTGATTTTTTAATTGCTTCTGCTGCCCTGGTCCGTGCTGCTTGCAAAATCTCGGCGAACTGTTGTGCGCGTGGAACGGGATTGTCGCGGTTTGGTGTCATGGGTACTGTTGGGTTCTGTCCGTAATTCAAGTAAAATGGCGACTGTTGGGTCGTGGCAGATGGCGCGTTGTTGTATGCGAACTCGATGAGAGGCAGCTGCTGCTCCCACGTGTTTGGATCGTCACACGTGGCTCGAATGAGTTGCTCCATAGTCTGGTTTGTCCGTTTTGTCTGTCCGTCGGTTTCGGGGTGATACGATGAACTGAATTGAAGTCGCGTGCCGAACTGCTGCCACAGGTTCCGCCAGAAATTACTGGTAAACTTCATGTCCCTGTCGCTGATGATTGACGCTGGTATCCCGTGCAGTCGAACGACGGTGGCGATGAAGAGTCGGGCTGTTTCCTCGGCTGTGATTGATTTCCTGCATGCTGCGAAATGTGCCATTTTCGTTAGTCGATCGACGACGACCAGGATCGCGTCATTCCCACTCGCCCCGGCCTGTAACCCCGTGACGAAGTCCATCGTCACCTGCTGCCAAGCACGCTCTGGAGGTGGGATTGGTTGTAATTTTCCTGCCGGCCGCTTCCTGGTTGACTTCATGAGTTGGCAAGTGGGACACGATGCCACGTGTCGTTGCACGTCGGTCAACATTTCCGGCCAGTAGTAGTACCGCTGCAGCTGCTGCCGTGTTTTTTCTACTCCGAAATGTCCCGAGGTAACTCCGTCGTGTGCCTCCTGTAACAGTAGTTCCCGTAGTAGCGTGTACCCTGGTACCCAGATGCGGTCGGATCCAGCTTTTACGTAATAGGCTCCCTTGGCTGCTGCGAATTGCTGTGAATTTCCTCCAGTGAAGAATGGGTCTGTTTGATATCCGTGGGTAAATAGTCCTGTCAGTAACGGGCTGGTCTGGGCGAGTAGTATCGCATGTATTTGGGCAGTGGGGCGGGTCAGTGCGTCGGCGATATTCGAGGCTCCTTTTTTATATGTGACCGTATAGTGGAAATTCGATTCGAGGAAGTCGAGCCACCGAATCTGTCGTGGGTTGAGGTGGGGCTGTGCGCGAAGGTACTGTAGGGATCGATGGTCTGTCCGTACTGTCACGTCTGCGCCGGTCAAGTAGCAACGCCACACTTTGAATGCATGCACGATCGCGAGCATTTCGCGGTCGTGTATCGGGTAATTTCGCTCAGGTGGATGTAGCTTGCGTGATTCGTAGGCGATGGGTTGGAGGCCGTTGCCGAAGTCCTGTAACAGTACGGCTCCGATGGCGATGTCACTCGCGTCTGTAACAACTTCGAAGGGGCGGTGTGGGTCAGCGATGCGTAGGACGGGTGGTGAACAGAGAACATTTTTCAGGGCAGAGAAGGCAGCATGCTCTTTCTCCCCCCCACGTAAAAGGGACCCCCTTACGCAGTAAATCAGTGAGCGGGGCTGTTAAGCGTGCCATGTCGGGGACGAACCGACGAACGTAATTAACAAACCCTAGAAAACTCTGTAGTTCCGTGATGTTCGTCGGGGGATGCCACGCTTTTACGGTATCCAGCTTCTTAGGGTCTATCTCAACCCCAGCCTCCGAAATGACGTGACCTAAAAACTCTAGCCTGTCCCGAAAAAACTCGCACTTGGAGCCCTTGGTGAGTAACCGATGTGCCTCTAAAATTTTAAAAACTGCTTCGAGATCTACTAAGTGCTGCTGCTGGTCCCGACTGTAAACGAGGATGTCGTCGAGGTAAACTATGACGCATTTATCTAAAAGTGGCCTAAACGCCTCGTTCATGGTCATCTGAAATGTTGCAGGCGCGTTGGTCAGCCCCAAAGGCATCACTGTGTACTCGAATGACCCGTACCTAGTCCTAAATGTTGTCTTGGCGCAGTCCGAAGGTTCGACCCGAATTTGATGGCAACCTCCCCGTAAGTCTATTTTCGAAAATACTCGTGCGGTTCGCAGCTGGTCGATCAGTTCGTCGGCGCGGGGGATGGGGTATCGTGATTTTACTGTTACCCTGTTAAGCGCTCGATAGTCGATGCACATGCGAAACCCCCCGTCTTTTTTCGGTGTGGACAGTATCGGTGCGGCGAACGGTGACGAGCTCGGTCGGATAAACTGCTTCTCTAACAGGTAATCTAACTGCTTCCTTAGCTCATCGAGCTCGGGCTGTGTCAGTCGAAATTGGCGCTGTACAGTTGGCTGTGCCCCCGGTTCTAACTCGATCCTATGGTCATGCGCCCGCTGAGGTGGCAGCCCTTGCGGTAAGTCATCCGGAAGGATACCCGGGAACCGTTTCAGTAGTGCCTGTAGTTCGGGTGGTACGGCTGCCAACAGTTTCTGCAAATCACTCGGCCGGTCCTCTTTTTCCACTAATGCGATATCCACTGCGTACACGTCAGCTCCAGCAGCGAGAGCCCGTTTCATCGTGATGGCGTTGACCTGGACCGTCGAAGACTCGGGTGGCTGCCAGCGAGGTAGGACGACCCAGTTACCACTACTTCGCACTGTGCAGCTACCCGTCGTCCAGTCAATTCGTGGGTTATACCGTCGCAGCCAATCACGTCCCAATAAAATGTCGTGCCCATCCAGTGTCGTTGCGAGCATTTCCTGTGTAAACCCGAAGTTCCCTCCGCAGCGGACCTTTACCCTCTCCACCTTTTCCCGTATAGCCAGTGGCGTGCCGTCGACTAAGCGTGCATCTTGTCAAGAATAATATATATTTCTATATATTGTTTTTGTAACTGCCTGTAGTGTAGACTACTGTAGTTATATGATGTTCTGTTTGGTGGTGCACCTTTCCTTCTTGCCTATTTGTACTCCTCGCTCTATAGTGAAACCCCTCACTTCTCTTTTCAACTTTCTCGACTTACCTAAACTCACTCGAACTCAATCACCAAGGCTCCTAAGCCTAACTCTTCCTAATTACTTTCACATGCTATCAGAGAGAGTTACGATCCTGGCCTTGTGCTTCCGCTGCTACTGAGTGTACTGCACGCCCCGTGGTGTGCCCTTTCATTCGCGGCCCCGCCACCCGCTCGCGGCCCCGCACCTTCTTAAGCGGCCCCGCCGCCCTACTGTCGCGGCCTCGCCGCCTCTCTGCTGTCGCGGCCCCGCCGCCCTACACTGCGGCCTCGCCGCCCTACTCCTGCGGCCCCGTCGCCGCCCGTCCCGGCCCGTCGCCGCCCGTACCAGCCCGTCGCCGCCCTTCGCGGCGTCACGTGCCGCCCGTCCCGGCCCGTCGCCGCCCGTGCGGTACCCACCCTAGGCACCGATGCCACCTGCGGCCCCGCCCTCTTGCGGCCCCGACCCCGCCCCGGCCATGCCCTGTCGTCAGCCGCGGCACACCGGGGGCACGTGCACCGCCCCCCCCTCTTTTCCCGTCACCTGTCGAGGCGACCTGAGGGGGCCCTGGAAGGGGGGGGCAGGCGTCGCCCCCTCTGCCGCCTGCTTTGGCGCCCGGGGAGGCCGTGCGTCGGCCCCCCCCCTCCCTCTCCCCCTTCTTCTCCTCCTCCTTTTGTTCCCTCTGCTGCAGCTGCCGCTGGGGGGGAGGGTGTGAGAGTGTGGGGGAGCCCGGGGAGGGACTGGGGGTGGTGGGTGTGGGGGTGATGGGTAATGTCTGTTCCCCTAGCCCTACGGCCCCATTCTCCTCCGTTTGCTTCCCCCCCCCCCCCCCTCTGCTGCTCCTGCAGCAGTGTGAGGGGGATGGGGAGGGGGAGGGGGAGGTTGAGGGGATGTAGGGGGTGACCAACCAGAGCCTACCACCTCCTCTCCTCTCTCTCTCCTCTCTCCCTTCTGTTCTCTGTTTTGTGCACTGGTTGCCTACTGCTGCTACTTCAACTTCACTCTGCTTGGTGTACCCCATTATGGGGGCGTTGACTGCACATTCTTCCCTACAGGCACTTATGGGGGCGTGTCAAGAATAATATATATTTCTATATATTGTTTTTGTAACTGCCTGTAGTGTAGACTACTGTAGTTATATGATGTTCTGTTTGGTG